ATTTGGGGTTCATCCGTCCGCCAGGCTTCTCACGCAAATACGCGACGGAATTTCCGCCGAGTATTCAAGGTAGAAAAACATATCATATGAATGATTTGTTCTAATACTCGCGACCAACGAGATCGTATATACATTAATATTATGAACATGAAAAAAACCAAACATATTATTATTACACAAAAAAATATTGTTTTGAATTAGCCCCGTAGTAACTTTTCCGATTTTAAAACTACATCCAACTACGGATAGCTGCATTATACGTAGATGACATAGACTACAATTTACGAGTTGACGTCGCGAGATGGCTGCTAGTATCACTATAAAAGAATTATCTTATAGCTATCGCTTTTGGTGTAACTTTGGGATAGACAGGGCCCCTGAGTCGAAACGGCTGTCTGTATGGTTCGCACAAGAATGGCGATTTCACGGCTCCTTCCTTGACCCACGACCGCGTTGAATACTGAGAACAAACATTGACGTGCGGTCGCAATGACCTTACCTGAACGAAATTCACAGTTAATTTACAGTAAAAGAATGGAACAAAAACAATGTAAACGATTTGCTCAGAAGTGAAATAAGTAGTAATTAAACTTTTAGTTTATAATAAAACTTACATATAAACATTTATTTCATTTTACATTTTATTTTACACAAAATAAAAGTAAAATATCAAAATCAAGTAAAATGTTTAATATGGATTATGATTGAGATAGCTCTGACATATTTATTAAGGGTTTTAAAGTTTTTTGTAAACATACTGTCACCTTCAATGATATGAATTATTAGCAAATCTTTAGAGAATTCGAAAAAAAAGTGGCATAAAAAATATCTGCTGAAAACAAAAGGCATATAAAAGTCTGACATAAACCTAGTGTTAAAAAAGGATTGCATAGAAAACAACAATCTAAGAGCTATTCAGAAGCACCAAGACATTTACATAAATATTGAGGGAAATGTCAATATTGTCCTACTTTCTGTTTTGCATTCACATTTAGTGTATTATATAAGTAAGGTAAATAAAGTGTTTTTTTTTAATACTAACTCCTTAAATTTATAAAGCCCCGACGTGCGCATACACACATCGAGATTTGTCTACACGCAGAAAACCTTCACATAAAAAAAATCACAAACACGTAGAAAATAACATTAAAAAGTATCATTCAAAGGAATACATTTTAACATCATGAACAAAGGTATTACACCAACAACAACTAAAAGTTTTAGCACCTCGTTATATTATTTAATCAATATGTCCGTTTGTTAGACACGCCCTGACCTAACGTTTTGTTTCGTGAGTATATTGTCGTGCAATTCACACTCATGTCAATGAAAACATGGACAGTATTAATAAACCATATTGTTATATCAATAAGGTTTAAAAAATACGGAAGCAACAATGTTAAGTTCACATAAAACATAACCTATCATAGGAAACAAATGAAGTACATTTTTAGTAGAATCGATCAATTTGTCTAGTTTTTCTGATTTTAAAACATGCAGAAAAAATGTTTTAATTTAGCATCAGTATATCCAAGTAATAGAACGGTACTTTTTTGGTTATACTGATGCTGTAAATATTTCTAGCAAATATTTATATAAATCAATAGAAACACAAGTTAATATTTCACATTATTAACTAAAATATCACATTCTGACGTACAATATTTATATACGACCCAATATTATCTTAATAAATCAACATTTTGTTACTTTGCGGTCAATTAAAACGAGATGTTACTGATTGTCGGATAACTAGTTTATTGGACCATTACTACCATTATATCATAAGTTATTGTTAAATGCTCAGTTGATCTACAGAAAAATTAACAGCAACAAATATCGAATCTGCACAACCGCACCGAACCGTGAAGCAGTACTGGAACGCCATTGACAGGCCATGGATTGAGCTCTTGCTCTATTCCCAATTTCACTTCGGGTCTGTTGTATGTTTTTCCTCTTGTAATTATATAAAGCGTTAATACCTTGACCTCTTTTTTAAACCATATTGTCTTTCACAAAATTTTATCTTTATCTACTAATACTTCAGTCTTTACATTACCTACCACATTTACGATCATCTGTTACCTCTTTTTTATCAAGTACATGTAATGCCTTTTATTTACAAAGAAAATGAGCGTCAAATAATTCAAATAACCAGGCAAACAATCAAAACATTCTCATTGTTATAAGCAGATAAAGAGATTATATCACTTTGTCTATGTTACAAGCCTTTGCCGTTAATAATGATGTCTGCATAACAAATATTCAATTATAATGCAGAAGGTATGGTGATCGTAAATATTTCATAAATAAAGCTTGTTTGGTCACAATCTAACAAAATTACTAAGGTGACTATCACTTTTTTGTTCTCACGGGTATATATGGCCAACTCGGCCAACAATAAATTCTTGGTGTATATTTTATTAAATTGAAAATACATTTGACAAGCTATGATCCGCATTTATAAAAAAATACATATACACTTTGAGTAACCGTTAAATTGAAAATAAATTGAATTGAACAAAAAATACTACAGCTGCCTATTCTAATACAAAATACATTTCTCGCATAAGCGGCATACTAAGAAACTGATCGAAAGGCTTAGTGGACCAATGTCCAGCATTTGTACCAATCTATTCTCAGTAGCTAAATAATATTATGTATGACAACGCCCAAGGTAAATCCTAATTGCTATCATTGCAATAGACACGTGTATAAGATACAAAAAAACAGGTTTTGTTTTGCCATAGGGACAGTAATTGTAGCTGCATAATGTTTGCATGTAGGTCGTAAATATTGTTACCGTGATAAATAAAAAACCATTGTCAAATATTAATGTAATTTTTAAATTTTAATGTTTAGGTTGTTAGAAATATATTTGAGGTAAAATTCATATACTTGAGCTTTAAGAAATCTGGACTGATATTGGAATTTAAATAATTTCAGTAATTTATGTACTTTTTTGGGATAACAAGCGTCGATAGCATCCTTACACTAAGAGCCTTCTCTGAAACCCGACATAAGATATGGATAATAACGATTGTTTTTAGAGAACTGTCAAATGAAACAAAAACTAAGTAGACATTTCAGAAAAAAATAGATTACTGGATTGTCAGAATCCAGGATTCTATACAATACAAATATAAGTTCGTCAAGACTTTCAAGTCAGTTCAAGTCAGCGCGGTTTTTTAAAAGGGCGCTCCACTATATCAAATATGGTTATGGTCTAACTATCTCACCAATGCTATGGATGACGGTTATCAAGTGGATGTTGTCTACACTGATTAAATAAAGCTTTTGATCGAATTCCTTACGAAATCCTTCTCTACAAGCTTGAATTGATCGGTATACGCGGCAAAATGTTGCGATGGATTGCCTCTTATGTTGAAAATTGTTGCCAGGCCGTGGTTATCAACAATTATATCTCCATATGGGTCATGGTTCCCAATGGTGTGCCGCAGAGGTCGCTGTTTGGGCCATTGCTGTTCATAATCTTTGTAAATGACTTATGTTTACATACATCAAAACTTTTATGCTTTATAGATGACATGAAAATATTCGCAAAGATACGTAGTCTTGACGAAGCTAAACTTTTACAAGACGATCTTAAGCGGCTCGAATGTTATTGTACTGTAAATAAACTGACTTTAAACCATTCAAATACAATAATACTCTCCGACAACAGTGTCTTCAACGAGACCCCTTTATGCGTGATCTGGGTATGGTATATGATTCCAAGTTACTATATGATTTCTCGTATTTATAGTATAGTATCCAAAGCTACGAAAGCTCTCGGTTTCTTAGTTCGTAACACCAAAGATTTTACTGAAACTATATTGTTCAATCGTTCGTAGTGGTTTGGCTTATAAATATTAAAAAGAAACTAAAATACTTGTGTTACCGCATTGGTATAAGTTAGCATTCCGTTGAATATGATCAAATGTGTAGAAAACACCATAGTGGTTACAACAACTGAAGGTACGTAGAAATATAGCGAATGTCAATTTTCTTACCAAAATAGCCTCTGGTCTGATTGATTGTCCTTAGCTTTTATCGCTGTTGAAATTGAATGGTCCCACCAGACTTTTACGAAATATCAAGCCGTTGAGTGTTCCAATCTCAAAAACAAATTCCGAACAGAATACATTCCAAATACGAGCAAGTAAGTCTTTTAATGATTTGAGCACGATTCTGAATCTAGCTCTTTTTAATTCTAGATATTCTAAAAGTCAAGGAGACAAAAATTTCTTTTAAAATATAAGTGTATGATTTTCTGATAAAGAAGGAAAAGTATTGTGATTCTTTATTTGCGTGTGTCCTTTATGTAATATGTATCTTTTGCCATACCTCACAAAGTGGGATGGGATTTTGAACAATTAAATTACCGAGTGAACTCAAAATTGTTACTTAATTTTAATGCTAATTGTGTGGATCTGTAATTGGTTATCTGATGTATGTAACGATATTGTGAGGTCATTTATACAACAGTGGATCTACCATGAAAAATAAAATAAGAGTCACTAGTTGATAAGCTTACTAAAGCCTGTTTTTGTTGATAACGCAGTACCTACTCTATTTATAATGACGTATGGGTATACGCATCTATGATAAGTAATATAGTTTTTATTTATCATTTGAACTGATTAAGTAAGTCTATCTCGTTCCAATAATTAATATGTATAGAAATTATAATATTGAATAATAAATCACTTCTAGAAAGAACTATTATTATATGAATCTGAACCCTCATCTTAACTTGTTACGCTTAAAAATTACCTTAACCAAACCTTCATTAATTGCAAGAAAAATTAAGTTGGCTGATCCGTAGCTGATTTTACTTCTATTTGAGTTGATGTATATCTGACGGAAGATACGTCGCATAATTGTAGGTCATGGAACATCAGAATTGATAAATTTGCACCGACCCTTACAAAAACCAAATTATCAATTTCTTTAATCTATATTTTAATTTTACTAAGAATTTACAATTTCGTTTCCAGCTGCTATGCCTCATTGCGTTGGTGGCATCAGATCCAGCGCCAGGCAGGATCCCTAAGGTGTACAACGCCCTCATCACCTCCAACCAGAACTTGGAGCCAAGCAAAGCTTACCCCGTCTACCAGCCCGTAATTCACGACTTTGCCTTCCCATTACAACCGGCGGTTTTCTATGGAGATTACCCGATTGGCAATGTAAGTATAATAATTTTTTTTTTGCATTTTAAAGTGATTGGTGAATACGATCTGACAGTCAAACATCCTTTTTATTTGGTAAATGCACTTATTGGTTCGTCGTGTTTATGTGCAATTGGAGGAGGTATGAAATATGCTACCAATATCCTTAGGCGAGAATAAAACTCCCTCACTTATCAACGACAAGTTGGATAAAAGCAAGACTGGAAGGGAAGTAGGAAAATGACAATTCAGAATAAAGTGCAGAAGAGTTGAAATAAAAGAAAATGAAAGGGGAACTAATAGGAAAATTTTACAAGCGTTCTTATTGTTACTATCCTATCGAAATCAACATCTACATATTTGACTTTATTTGACTTTCTTATTTTATGGGCTTTTGAGCTTGGTGATCATAATATAAGAAAACATTTTCTCAGCAATATATATCTATGGAAACAACTTTGTATACCAGATATTTGACTTAAATGTGGATAAATGAAAAAAGGATACTCGTACATTTAGCATTAAACAAAATATAATACATTGGAAAAGGCTACTTTGATTACATTTTTGTCTTTTATTATTTACTATAAATACATTAGTGTTTCTTAACAGAGGTAGCAATATCTTTTTTTGCATACATAAATATATTAATATATTACTGGTTTGTTTTCTTATAGAAATAATGCTATACTAAAAATATTACTTATCTTTTTTAGGCACTTCAGCCACCCACTGTGCCGAGAGATCCAAACAATGCCCTGCCATCAGCGCCACAGCCACCAGCACAGGCGCCTCCACAACCAGAAGATGCAAAGCCTTCATCTACAGAAAACCCACCAGTTTCTTCTGAATCAGTACCATCTGGAGGCAATAAACCAACACCAGCACCTCCTCTGCCACCCAATACAGAATCACCGATCCATCTAAATCAATTCGGGCTCCCTTCACAAGTTCTCCCATTAGGCCGCATCGATCCAGCCTACAATGGTTTCAATCAAGTTGGTCCATTCACGTACTCCTACCCGAGTTTTAGGCTATATGATGCTTATGATCCATTTAGTCTTAATCCCTTCGTCAATTTTCCACCGGTATTCCGCGCGTTGCCAAACTTACTTGAAGCTCAGTCGCCAGGGATACCTCAAGTTGCCGCGAAAGAAACTGTCAATCCCACTGGTGGACCTGTGACTGCCGCTCCTCAAGCAGACCAAAGTCCTCCTTCTGAACCGATCGATCTTAATCTTTTGAACTACCCGTCTAAAGATCCAGCGATACCTAATGTTCCTCCACCCCCTCTTCCACAAGGAGGGCTTAAGTCTGACAACTCAGAATAGTTTTTTAGTTTTGTGTCGATCGCGCTGTAATCTTATATATAATTTAATTTAATGACAAAAACAATGTTTGGCTTTAAGGCAGCTATAACTGAGGTGTGACAATGTTCCTGGAGATTATATTTATTTATTTGTATTTTTTATTACAAATGTATATTTCATAGGGAAGCTGAATAATTTATCTTATATATTTAAAATCTATTCCATTTTTTATCAACATTTTTTATTTCAAGTTTTATATAATTCACTTAAAACAAAACCATTAACAACACATTGGAATGCCGTACGAAATACAATATTTTAGACGTAAACGTTCTAATCGAGGATTTGATTTTTTTATAAATGAAAATATACGTTTCTTAACCCGATGTATTTTCCACATATATCGTTATGTTAATGTTTAAAACCATTAAACTGTTAACGGTTTTAAACACCTATCCACAAATTGCTTGTGTCTGTCACAACTAAAACTAATCTTGCTTCTAAACTCATATTCTCTTGATCAATTGTATTTTTGATAGGTCACTTTTTAAAATTCTTATAGACAGATCGCACAAAGATCTACTAAATCTATAATTAATTAAATTATCATACATTTATACAAATGATTTGCGTTCTACATATCGACGACTAGAATGCCTTCTTGTGTAAAGTTTATAGAAGTACAAGTCCCAAATGATGCCTGGCTTCATATCTATTGGGATGAACCACTCAAAATAGTTATGATAGTAAATAACTCCCTCATAATGATAAATAATACGACAAATACACATTGAGAACAACATCGGTTTGTATCTCACTATGTGGCCATACTCTGATTTAGCTCTTAGGTATACGCATGTAGGATCTTGTGTAGTATTCAGCCATCCCTAAAACAATATGATAATGAAAAATGAAACAAGTGGTTTTATTTATATTTGTATTTATCGAACTGATATTCGTTTTAAAGATAATATAAAGATGAAGAACTGTACTCTTGCCTTTTTTTATTAGGTATAATATTTTTAAGTTCATTTTGTGTTGGTCTAAAGTTTATGATTTCAGAGCCAAGTTGTGGGGCTACAACCTATTTTATTTTTAGATCTACTATTAGTTAAATATCCTATTCTATAGTTTAAAGAAAATATTCCATCTTAATATAAAACGGGGATTAACTAATACCAGTTTTAAACCATTATCCGACCAAAATAAGTCAACGCATCTCAATGTGACTTTTTCTCTTGTGTCATCATAAATTTATTGTAGTCGGCTAATATCACTCGAAATTAAGTAACACTGATATTTGCAAAGATTGTTAACAGGATCGAAGCATACATCTGGGACGACACATAACCAGCCCAGAAGATATGCTGACTGACAGACCATATTAAATTTCTTCTTTTTTACCCATTCATCATCCTTATTTATATTACATATTTAACCCATTTAGTCCTACCGTACCATATGTGGTACTGTAACTTTGAAAACTATTTCAACATACTCATGAAATAATAACATTTGTTTTACATTTTAATAATAAGATTTAAGTATTAGTTTTATGATACAAAATATTATAGTACAGTTTTGCTAATTTTTTTTATAATATATGTGAAGTTATATATCAGAAAAAAAGAAACATATTTACAATCATTATAAAAAGGTAAGTTTCGTGTTATTTATTTTAATTTACGATGTTTATTTGTATTTTTCTAAAGACAAAAGTGTAACACATATAAAGACCATAAAAAAGTTTATTTGGGTTACATTAGTAAGAAACTTGATCCTGAAGTTAGGTGTATCATATGTTGGTACACTAGGATCATTTTATTTTGTGATTTAAATTTTTGATATAGCAGAATATCGCAACAATACTATATAGAATATGACAATACCACAAGTAAACAACTATTTTACCGCTATCTGAGATTACTAGTGACGGTAAACCTAATGAATTAATATGGTTCTTTCTGGATTCAGGCGCAGAAAATGCTAGTTACATGCATAAAGCTGCAATAGCTGCATAAAGCCTGCATCAAGACCCAATAGAATTTGTATCTGCAAGACATCAAGGAACCGAAGACCAAGAGCCTAGTGAGACTCTAAAACTTATCATTAAGTACCTACTCAGTAGTACTCGTTTATTTTGTCCTAGGTATCCGCATCCAAACTTTTTGTCTCTGATCTTTAACCTTACTTTTTTTTTAATCATTCATTTTTCGTAATTTGTAATTTTAAATAAATCGATATGGTCTTTCTGAATATCAATTCGTGAAAATTAAATGATGTTAAAGGTCAAAGACAAAAGGTTTCGGATAAGTGGTACACTTACATGTGGTACACTTATCGAAACATAACATAATTTCGACTTAAAAGGTTATCGGACTAAATGGGAGGAAAATTACTCTTATGGTATCTATAACATTTTATTAGAATATACGTACCCTTACGATCAGGATCCCTCGAATGTCATCCGACTTATAATGCTTTGAAGCTATTAAATGTTTGTATCTGGTTGCACATCTCCCAAAAAAATACTCACTGTGAACTGTTGTATCTGCAAGCGTTAATCTAGTTTTTAAACTATTGATCAATTTTATATGACAAATCAAACTATCTTGTAATAAGTGTATTACCTGAAGTTCGATCTATGTTAGTGAATATGACACTGTCTAGCGCTGTATAAGTTTTGTATTTAGATACTATACCTCCTAGAATAAAGAGAATCAAAAATCAATAAAGTCCAATAAACTCTATCAAATAATGTATCAATTAGATACAAATAAAAACGACTGCCAAAATAGAATTAAAAGTGAAAGAAACAAGTCTTATTATGGCTTGGACAAACGAAATTGTCGTTGCGATCGGGGTTCGTTTTGTAGAATATTTTTAATCTTCTTAAGGCGTCTTGATTTCCCAACTGCATGAGAATTTTGTTTGGCGGACTAGCAGAAAACACTACTTTGTGCAGCCTGCGATTTTGTAAAAATCCAAACCCAAATAGGAATTCACTCAGGTGTCGGAATTCACTTGAAAAACCAGCATCTCGTCTATCTTGAATTGTTTATAACGTTTCGTGGTATAAGTGAAGTGAAATTCGAACTGACATAGGAATAAAATATCTGAGACAGGTACAATCAATCAATTTTGATTTGTATTTAAATACAAAACATTTAGTCAATAAAATTTCTTCAAAAGTGACGTGAATTCGGAGACATGAGTGAATTCGGGTTCGGATTTTTACAGAATCGCCCTGCAGGACGCCTTCCAGCTAGGTGTAACGGTTACTTGCGGAATTTCTGACTGAATGTCTCATTCTCCATTCCATTTCCCCAACTAATACAAAAAAAATTAAACGATGAAGATCGAGGTTGGATTAGAGGTACCCATAATACGTCATCAACCATATAGTCAAATTAAATCTTTTAAAAATCGAAAACAACAAAAGACGACGAAATGTGAGTTAGTAAATTGTTTCGGTCATTCGGATATCATGTCCTGTGATCGAAGAGGAGGGTGGGTTAGCGCATTGTGTCAAAAATGTGGCGTTTTGAAAACTTGATTTATTCCAAAACTCCTTAAACTACTTTTATTATCCAAGAAAATACCAAAGAAGCCGAACAACTTATCTACATAATAAATAAAAAACTCACTGATGCTGATCAAGAAACAATACACAAAGCAAATGTTGGCGTACATAATTTTTAAATGAACTCCAAAAACATACTATGTTGAAATCGAAGAAAGAATTTCTAAATATAAATCGATGTTATTTTCAAGTAATCACAATAAGCAGCAATGTTAAGTAAATATTTACTTCCGAAAATGACTCGACGTAAAAACAACAGCGAAGATTAATTAGCAATAAAACAGTTAACTAAACTAGTATGATAAAATATAAGATATATACATAAAAATATATGTATTTATAAACATATTGGTAGTCTATAATGAGAGTATATAGAGTAGCTCGGTGGCGTAGTGGATAAGCGCCGCGGCCCGCGATCGTAGTCGTTAAGCAACTTTCGCAAGGGTCGGTCACTGGATGGGTGACCAAAAAATTATTATCTCGAGCTACTCCGTGTTTCGGAAGGCACGTTAAGCCGTTGGTCCCGGCTGCAGTTGCAGTCGTTAATACCCTCCAATCCGCAGTGGGCCAGCGTGGAGGGTCATGGCCCATCCTCCTTAACCATTCATAAGGAAGGCCTGAGCCCCTGCAGTGGGGACGTAAAAGAGCTGGTTATGATGATGATGATGAGTCTATAACGGCATAAGAAACAGTAAGACGGTAGGATAAGTAGTAAAAAACATATTTTCTACAAATCTAAAACCTCGCAACAGTTAGATTGTCTTTAATGTTCACACAGCCGTTATCAAAATATATCAAATTTCCACAACGGATTATGAACTCTACTCTCAAGATATTAAGGTTTACAATTAAATGGGGAAATTTAATAACTTTGAAGTATAACCAGACATGCACTTGACTGTATAACGAGACCTATGATTTTCGTTGTGGATAAGCGCCGCTGCCCGTGATCGTTGTTGCTAAGCTACTTTCGCAAAGATCAATCACGAAAGTGGCAACCAAAAAATTATTATCTCGAACTACTCCGTGCTTCGTTAATCCTTTAGTCCTGGGCTCCCAGCTGCATTTACAGTTAGACCCGCATGGAGCGTCATGTCCTATCCTCCTTAACCATCCATAAAGAAGACCTGAACCCTTGTAGTGCCCCTGCATTCGCTTCAAAACTACTGGACCTATTTATAAATTCTTATACTTACGAGAAGCTAGTTCATATGGCACCTTAAGCAAATAGTTTTAACTATAATGGAAGTTCTTTATTCAAATTCTTGCGAATTGAGTAACAATATTTGCTTATTATATTACTTTTACTCAAGTAATTACTTCTACTCGACTATATATACTATGTATTTATGAAATACGTTAAATAAATTACTGGAAAGTTTTAGATTATATGGTTGTTCGGCCTTTTAAAATGACATACCTATTCATTTCAAAACTCGATGAAGACTCTATTGTCCACTCGACCAATCAATTTCAGGTGGGCTAGAAGCACTTAACATTATTTGTGTAACTAAAAGCCATGTTCAAGTTTCAACACGTGATAAGTTGTTTGTTGTCCTTAATAATAGGCAGTAGTATTGTGAAATTAATGAACATGCCAATCCGGACATATTATCGGTACTATCGCATCAGGGCGTTACGTGATAGTCATAAAGGCTAGTACCACCATATATAGGATGTTATATAAAAACTGAGAGATTTTTACTTTCAATTTTTTATTTTATTTTTTCATGTGCAAGTTATTTAAGCGAAATTTAAACGTATTTTTACGTGTAAACTTGTACAAATTAACATTTCTATTCTATTTCTTCAAAATGATATATCCTCTATTTTCAAAATGCTAATACGACTCTAAAGAAACTCAAAAATAATGATGCAACGGGGGTAGCACCGGACACTGCCTCTAATGTACAGATAATCTTCAAACATATGACTTAAATAAAATTATAAGAATAGGTGTCACATTCGTTCGAGTTGTATAATCTTTTATTTAGAGAAAGAGTGAATACAATTTTCTTGTTAAATAATGTATTAAGTTATGTAATTATTTGTTAATCATTATACACACTTAATAATACTAAGACTGCTGTTGTTATTCTGCAATAAATTTAGTTTTATAACAGAAAATAACTCAATATCGAGTGCACTGTCACAGCATAGAGATTCAATCAAATAACTTACTTGAAAAGATAATAAAGGTTTTATTTCATTAAAGCAACCCATTATAGTCCGTCCTGTTTTCCCATAAACTGTGACAACGCAACGCAAAACTCAACGTTGAGTTCAAAAGTGATGTGACTCCAATAGGATTATGTGACTGGAATTACTCGAGCCATTTAACTAAGTCATTCGAGTTCTCGAGATTTCTTTTAGTAATTTTAAACAAATACCTATATAATATACACACAGCTGTGCTCTCAAACCTTAATAATTATGGTAAGCTGATACCAAAATTAAATTCCCTGTTGATACCAAAGTTTTGACAAATTATTTATTCCAGTAATAGACAAAGAACAAATAAGGGATATAAATAAAAGTCTTGGATGCAATAAAAATCTATGAATGAGTTACTACATTACATTGGGAGCTCCATTTTTAAATAATTCGTCTCGCATTGAGCACTAGTTTTCTACTGATTTTTGTTCAAAATAACAAAATCGCCATTCGTCATCAATCATTCGTCGTTTAACGATCGCTGTATGTTAGTGATAGAATAAACGTCAAAACATGAAATTAATGGCCACCCTGCAGATAAACGATTCAAAAATACTAAATAACGGCGTCATGCGTTTTAGAAGTCGAGCGTGACTTAACTCGTATATGGCAAAGAGATTATAAACGAATAAATCGAAAATAGAACTCCTTGTGGCAACAGAAATAACTCGATGCGCCAAATTGATCAATGGGGCTCGAGTAATATTTTGATCACTCGAGAAATAATTTGATAATATCCTTCGAGTGACTTAAGTAAAAACAGTCGCAACACTAATTCGAAGCTGTTTTTGAACAGAATACCATAGCATAGCTGGTTCTAAATTCAACTGAAAAAAAAATGAATTCTGTAATACCTATACGTTATGGAGGTGTGCTTTTCGTGTTAAATATCAAATTTTAAGTTATTATAAATAAAAACCATTAATTATTTAAAAAAGCTCTAATTTAATTAAACCTTAAAATACATCAAATATATTATAAAGGTTTCTAATATTCTGAACTGTAATCAATCATATACTAGATTAGGTGGTCCAAAGAAATAAAGGTCCCAATCCATACCACCACTCATATCTTCGGGTATATACCACTCATAATAAAAGTATTTATATCGTTTCTGAGAATGACAATACGTAATCCTTGGTACGCATATTTGAAAACGGAAGGCTGTGCTTCTCATCAAATCGTATTCATGTGAATTGGCTCTCAGGACAATACATGTTGGTATCCTTAATGCGTCGATCCACCCCTAAAATGTTGATTAATTAATATTTTACTGGGTTTCCACCAGTGGCATGATATTTTAATAACAATTATTTTATTTTGTACAAATACCAGTTACATAAAGAGAGAGAGAGAGAGAGAGAGAGAGAGAGAATTAATACGTCACGCACATATCTTTCTCTTGAATCACTCTGTATATTGATGAAAACCGAATTAAAATCCGTTGAGAAATTTAAAAGATCTCAAGGTACAGACAGCGGGAAGAGATTTTGTTATATACTATATAAAGATAAAAATCCTCTATAAAATTAGTCGTTTCGGGATATGTGAAAAAATCTCACCAATAGTATGAGAGGAAAAAAGAGATTAATAACAACAGTGGAATCGACCAACAAAATGTGTTAATACAGGTTAAAAGGTTCTTGTGTTATTTGTAAAGTAAAATAAATAATGTTTTTTTTTTCAATTAATAGAACTAACGTCAACCTTTAAAAAAGTGATAAATAATACTTATCTTAAAAGCGACTTATTCAAGAAACTACTATTATTATTTAAATGATAGACGTGACTAATGTCGTTATTAAAAATAAATATACCTTTATAATATATATAGGTATATATACCTTTATATATAAGGAGAACAGGCAATCACGCAGGCCTAGTGCGGATTGGTGAGTGTTAATGACTGCAGATATTATTAATATTCTTACCCGAACTATTATTTTTCCTAATATTTCCAAATGGGTTTTATGTGCGTGACAGTAAAATATCAAGTTCCGTTCAGCCTTGCAGTGACCATAGTAATATTCGCTGTGAACGTGCACTGTAATTTATAAGATAAACTTCATCATTACTCAGCTCAGGCCATCGGCTCAGCTCAGGCCATCCTTATGGTTGGTCAAAGTGAATGGCCCATGAGGCGCTGACCCAATGAGGCTTGGAGGGTATAAGCGACCGCAAATACAGCCGGGACCAATGGCATAACGTGCATTCAGAAGCTCGAACTAACTCGAGATAATTTTTTTTTTGGTCACCCATTCCAAATAAAATAATAAGTATTTGCATGTAGTCTCTGATCTTGTTGATTACTACGGTTACGAGCGAGCTCTTTTTAGGACGTAGGTGCTCACTTAGACTAGGTTTTATGAAATTCGACCCATAAGAGGAGTAAATTAGGGGATGAAATTTTTTATGGAATCTTCTTACTTCTGGAGTTAAAACTAGACCACGCGGGCGAAGCCGCTAGCGGAAGGCTAGTACATATATAAATAAATTAAACGCTCGCCGTTTTCTTACATTTTGTTTTCGGGGTGCCAACGAAAGTATAGTCATTGAAACTTGTATAAAATTGCCATCCAAATGCAGGGGTCACTGAAAAAATAAAACAGGACAAGGTTTTTGACAAATTCCTTAAATAAATTTCAAGTTCAACGAATATATCATTATTATTGAGATACGTGAGTATCTATACACCAATATAAGGTTATTAATTATAGCCTGGTACCTAAAATAAAACCTTTCAATTTTATAAAATAATTGTTAATAGGTTTTAAAGAACCTCATGAATTGTAAAAAAAATACCTGCAAACATAATAAGTAGTAGAAATTCCATTTTATACTGACTTTTTTTTCTTTTTAACAATATAATTTTATAGACACTATTACACAAGAAATAACTTTGCTAAATACTTAAAGTGAGCCAAAGAAAACTACCGAGAGCCTGTATATATACACTGCTGTATCACAACATGAACAAGAATCACATTTTAAAAATGCAAACACGTTGTTTATAACATAGACATATTATTAATAATATAGATATTACCAACAGTCTATTGATACTCGTATACGTTATACCATTTTTATACAATCAAGTGTAATAGTGAAATAAACGTAAACACAATATTATGTTTGTATCATTATTGTGTTATAATTATCTACGAGTAGACAAAAATCATGTTTCTGTATTTTAATTTCAACATATTGAAAGTCTTAGAAAAGATGATTTTGTTGGTTTGTTTGCATAGGTTCCGAAATTATTGCACGATTTAAAAATCGACCTATTTCGATATAAAAATCACCTACGGGAAACTAAATCATATGCGGTGAACATAGGCTATATTTGGCTATATTTTTGCTGTATTCACAAAACAGCAAATAAAGGGATGAAAATGGGTGTGAAATTTTGTATAGGGAATGAAAACGTTACCATAGTAACGATTGTTTGCTATTCAATTGGTCATTCAAAGCTAGTATTCAACATATTTAGTGTGAAACCATTTATTCCAGAAAGTTTGAGATTCTATTCTATTAAGTTTTTTACACGCTCTCATTTTCACCTGTCCCGATGTTTGTCTTTACGTTATCAAATCTTGCTAACTAACTTTCACCCACTTCCCAGTTTCCAATTGAACTGAAATTTCAAGTATCCCTATTGCAATTGTATATAATCGGTATTATTAAGGCTGCAGTAATAAAATGGCGGCGAATATATTCATAAACAACCCACCCAATTTATTATTATTTTGAATCGTACCATGTCTCTTCCCTTATATATAATTTTATTCAACACCTAAACAGTGGTCAAGACAACCATTGAGTGAACAAGACACTCAATAAATCGGGTATAAATGGCTAACTTAATTCAATTAATGATATAATTTATATAGCTAAATTAATTGTAACACCATGTATTTCAACAAATATATCATAGATATGAAAAAATAACCGTGCCGATAAAAATCACAGTCTACGGATAAATGTTGAACTTCATTGTACTTACTGAAAATGTTAAGCTTCGATGTGTTATCCATAGTAAAATATTTCTATATTTTGTTTAACGTTGGATATAGCCTCCAGGTAAGAGATTATACTCGTACAATAAAGTATTTGATTTAAGGTGCTTTGGGGTAATCACTACTGCAGGTAAATTCCGAAAATTACAGTTAACAAGCATAATGTTTATTTTAAATAATTTGAAGTTTTTTCATCTATAAAAAGTCAGTTTATTTGTCAACTTTATCAACAGTTGATAAAAACAATGCTCGATTTTGTGGTAATTCGTCTTTTTCGGAATTTTCCCGCTTTCGTTATCAAAACACTATACCAGTTTTTCCATATTCTATTTAAATTGTGTATCTTCAGATTTGCCCTGAAGAGGTGACTGGTTCAGGGATAAAAGTGACTTGGCACCAAAGTCCTACAGCAAGCAATATACAGTCAGATCCATTGTGTTTCTTTAACGACACTCTGATAACAAGGAACTGCACGGATGGTGAATGGATACCTGATGTATATCAACTGCAATCATGTGATAAAGCCGTCAAATATTTAAATTCTCTCTCTTGTCCAGCGGGCTTTCATAAAATATCTGAAAACAACAACAAATATTGTTATAGAATAGGCAAACCATCTGTTTGGAATAGTCCGTGTTTTGGAAATGGAAGCGCAACTGTTATTACCGATTTAAATAGAAACGATAGCGAATCTTTGATAGATTCGCTGAAACGTTCCAACCACAAATTGTTTTGGTTACCCGCTAGACGTCAAAAAATATTTGCCCCTGTTGTATGGCACATCCCTGGTCCAAATTGGGGACAAACAGTGATAGAAAATAGTCAAATACCCTTTAGACCGAGCGTTTTAAAAAACTGCTTATTATTAGATACTGATAATAAAGCGATGAGAACAGAAACATGTAACTTGGAGCATCCAACTCTGTGTTTGTATCTTAACGATCTTAATTACCCTGCAAAATGTCCAGAAGGATATTATGCTTTTCGCCATATGTTTGATGATGGAAGTTGTTATGGAATAGAAAAATCTAACAAAAGCTTAACATATAAAGATTTCAGCAAGCAATGTAAAAAACCAATGGGACAAGGCGATAACATGGATTCAAGGAAGTTGATTTTTACTAAAGTAGCTGAACTAATTCACATGCCCAATTATTCATGGTGCTGGTTTTCGTCATTCACTGAAAACCATAAATATATTAATTCAAATAACAATACAGATATTGAACCATTTATATATAAAGAAACTACTTCACATATGAAAAACATTATCAACAACGTAGGAACGATAGCTTTATTAGATTCATCAAGTACCTTATCATGCATGGCTTGTGAGGCTGACATTATATACGGTGAAACAGAACTATTCTTTGAATATGACATCATTAAGAATAAAATATACCTGACCATTTATTTTCCTTCGGGTCTATGGAAATATAATCAAAATGATCGAGGTGTACAGTGCTTTTCTGATGCCAAAGGATTTTTCAAAGTCATTGAAGTCTTTGAAACAATATCCCACGTAACTTGCAACAATTTATCAACAAACTTATCTTTCTCTTCAGAAAATAAGTTTATAGAAAAATCAATATACGAAATAAATTTAGTGACTGACAGATCTGCCAGTTATTGGTGTGAAGGTCACACCAAAAATTTTTCACTAATTACTACAGAAAAAATAGTTGTCAATCCTCAAGGAAGGCAAGTTCATGTATTCTCCCTAGTTATGGAAATATTTATTTGTTTAGATGAAATTAACGATATTATGCAACTTAATTCAATAGGATTAACAGAAAATCTAAATGAAATATTACAAGCTGAAAAAGTGATAATAATGGATGTTTTAGACTATAAAATGAATACTATGCAAGTCGTCTTGCATGTTCATGTATCTATCAATGACACCTACAAAATTGAAGCTCTTAATTTACTTGTCACTTATCACAATTTATTGCATAAGATAGACACGAAATTTCCATCGTATAACTATACTTTAATTAATATGTCAAGTTCAGTCTACTGCTTACCAGCTATTTCACAAGATTCTATACCATTATATTGGGACTTAACTCCTATCGGCCATATTGCAGCTCCAAAACAATTCTGTTTGCAAAGTAACGGCCTTCCTGTTAACAGACATTGTTTTGGATCTTATCTTCTTGGAAGTTTTTGGGGAATGGTTAAAGGTCGATGTGACAAAAGTTATGAACCATCTATAACAACAACTTTATTGTTTAATTTCATACAAGGCAAGTTGGAAAATGAATTTGTTACTCGTTTTCTTACAAGTGGATTACAAAAGGTATTAGGGAATACAGATATAATAATTCCAGCCGACATATATTATTTATCAATATCTTTTCAGCAAATTTTAAACATTGCTCATAAAAATGAAACTTTTGTAGAAACTGGAGATATACAAAATATAGCCTGGGCAGTAGATAGGATAATGGCCGTTAATAAAAATAACTTACGCTTAGCTCAAACCCTGAATTCCACGAATGTAATATTAGATTCCATTAACGATATCATTACAATGATAAGTCGTGAAAGTTTTAATTCATTCACTAATAAAACAATAAAAAAATATAATGCATACCAACTCGCTATTGAACCACGTTTTGTTGTACAGATATCATATCCTAGACTAACAAATATCACAGGTCTGGCGATTATTAACAGTGAAAACTCGGACCAGTTTAATGAAATGCAAATTACGCCGTTATATGAAAACATGACACTAAAAGAAGTTTTATCAATTGAACATTTAGAAGTGGCGACATGGTTCCCAAATATTGCAATAAGTAATTTACAAAACAATTCAAATAAAGACGAATACATGCATATGGTAATAAATGTATTTTCAGAAGATGTAATATTTCAGCAACTAAATAAAACTAGTTATGTAATTAATAGCCGCATAATCGAGGTTGAAATACCAGGCTATTCAACAAATTCCGAGTTTTCTATACCGATCATATTTAAAAATATAAATCATACAGCTGGTATCGTGTCAAGAATGTGTGGTTATTGGGACTTTCATAGTAATACCGGCAATATTCCAGGAAAATGGTCAGACCGTGGTTGCACATTAATAGCAAACGTTAAAAATATGACGATATGTGAATGTTATCATCTAACACACTTCGGGCAGTTAATAAATATTAATATCGATAGGGATTTAAAAGATACGATTATTGTATCAGGACACCAAAAAGCATTAAATATTATAACGCTTATTGGTAGTAGTTTATCTATTACGGGCATCATAGGTATTTGGATAACAGCTATCGTTTTTGATTTATGGAGGAAGAAAACAGGAACAAAGGTTTTATTACAACTCTCAACTGCTATCGCTTTACCCTTAATATTGATAGTTTTCTTTAATGTCGACAATTCCTTTATTGTAGAAATGCATGACATAAACCAAAATTCTCAGCACTTGAAAATCATCTGCATAATTTTGGGAGCAATTTTCCACTATTCTGTATTAACAAATTTTATGTGGATGTTGATTACTGCTATACTACAATTCCTTAGATATGTTAGGGTTCTTGGTGTTTCTAGACCATCTAAATTTATGATTAAACTAGCATTAATAGGGTGGGGTTTGCCAAGTATACCAGTAATCATCGTTTTGATTCTAGACAGAGAAAATTATATTCCTCGCCCAGATTCAGAACGTCGCATTTGTTATCCAAGTGGCATCTATATGATGTTAGGTGTAGTATTGCCTGTGTCTTTGATTTTAATTGTGAACATAATTTTATTTATATCAGTAATAAAAGCTATTTCAAGAAAATCAGATATGCGTACCAATGACAGAAGTTTAGTATGTGCTCAATTCAGATTGTCAATATTTTTATTTTTCTTATTAGGATTGACCTGGGTATTTGGTATAATGTCGTTTTCAGGTAGTGTTATATGTTCATATATCTTTTGCTTGACATCTACTGTTCAGGGTTTTGTTTTGTTCATTTATTTCATTATATGTGATCCATCGACAAGAAATTTATGGGTCACTGTTATGAAACCTCAATTCCTATCTTCAAGAAACAGTATTACCACGATAAGTAGTGGGTGATATAAGAACAGAAATAAAAAATATTACACTTTCATAGAAAAAAACAGTTTTCTATGAAAGTGTTATATAAAGTAATAAGCTGTTTATTTTAATAACAATATATATTTATTAGTACCAATTTGATCTAGATATAATTATTTTTAAACTTTATCAATATAGAAAAAAAAAGAAAGGTATTATATTAAAAGATTAACATAGCATGTAGTTGGCGCATGCTCTAATATCAATTCAGTAATAATTATATTTATCATTATTGATTTCTTTATTCTTTATTGATAATTAATGTGTTTATTTATAGAAGTGTAAAAACTATTTTATAATATTATAAGGGAATACAATTTTTTAAGTAAATTTTGTCATCAGTATGAGTTGATAAATTCACTCTAGGCATTTCGATTGAAAATCAGAGGATGTTAAGTGAATCTGGAATTCAAATAAAGATTTGTTTACCCATCTGGTCTTTCATTATCATTGTACACCCAGTAGGCATCTAGTTACAACGTTCACAATAAAAAAAAAGACATCCAAATTAACAATTTGATATGTATGCTCATATTCTAATCCTTTTTTTGACTGGTAAGTTTAGATATTACTGTTTTTCTAAGTATAAACTTAGTCAATGCCTATTTAATTATATTTCATTTTATTATCTTAGCAAATATTGAAAGTGTGATTCTATATATAGCCGAGTGGCTCGCATGCCAGTTTCAAGGTGTCGCCATCTCTGAGGTCCCGGGTTCGATTCCTGGTCGGGTCAGTGTAGAAAATGCACTTTCCTCTATTGTCTCGGGTCTGGGTGTTGTGGTACCGTCGTTGTCTCAGATACTCCATAATACGAGGGTTTTAGCTACTCATCTTGGAATCTGAGCAACGTATGTGATGTTGTTTAATATTTATTTATTTTATTTACTTTGATAACTTTGTATGTATTAAAGTATATAGTGACAATTTTATTTTTAAACACAGCATCTGTTTTTCGACTATATAAATTGTTTTAGTTAAATTGTCAATAAATAAACATTGTGGTTCAATAATACTAACACATCTTAGATATTCATAAATATATAAATAATTGGTATTTATATTTCTTTTACGAAGTGTCTCGTAGCAGTGGTTGGCGTGCAGCACCGGCTAATCTAGCATCATTTTCTGTTAGGCAAGGAGATGTTACTTCATTCACACAAGACGATTATTTACCAAGAGGTAAAGGAAAAAAATTTGTATACAATAAGGTTAAAAATATGGACTACACATCTACCGAAAAAATCTTCAATTAATTTTGAACTCTACTTGCAATTCTGGAAGGTTTCAAATCAAATGCAGAAATAAGACAGTTTTGTATAGCCTGACGTTCTGTTGACTGTACATAAGTCGTTAGGACCAAAAGCCGTTCTATGGTTGCCAACGGTACTATCATATATACTATTGCACTAAAGTTTGGGTCTGCGTTATAAATATACTTTTGGATAAATAAATAGTACACATGAATACTACATTTTTAACACCGAAAAATAACAAATAAATTATTTGTTTATGAATCCGCCTAATAAATTAACTTTAGGTTAATACGACAGCTTAAATAGATAGATAGATTAAGTAAATGTTGTTAAGAGCTGGTAAGTTTCATTCACTCGTTCTTCTTGTCAGCCAATATAAGTCCTGAACGTAGGAAATATAATTAAAAAACTCAATAGTGTTTGCAATAAGCTTGTTTCAATAAAAGATAATTTCATTTCATAGCGTGTATATTCCAACGTATTTATCTTAGTTTATATTCGGCTCCTGTGGAATTAAAGTAACTAGATATTTCGTATTTTTGAATGTATTATTGTAATAACTTATTTCCAATAATACTGTATCTCGCTAAAGAAATTTTGGCAACCCTAGTACGCATTGACGTCGCGATCAGCTTGAACACTGTAACCTCATAGTGCTATTAATAAACAAGGTTTAGCGTCAGAGTAACTATTACGCTAAAATTGCAATTTTAGTAATAGTCCAAATTCATATTATACTGAGTATAAGCAGACCGACTTCCTTCTAGGTGTAAAGATTACTGCCGTAGTACCGCGGTTCTAGGTTAACTTCCACTAAGTCTCTGTTTAATCATATGGATTTTCACTAATACTAAGTGCAATCTCAATGTAAATTTACTCCAACGCTAAACCTTTTTTATTAATAACACTGTAAGTGATCAACTATATTATTTACAGATGCTCTCCACAGTGTATATAAGTTTGGATGGTGCAGACCAGATGCAGTAGCCAAAGTTTATCTCATTCATACAGCTATAATACATTTCCCTACTTTTGCTTCGACACATGGAAAATATGTTTATGTAAGTGCATACTTATTAATCCTATGTACCTCCTTTTTGGCCAATGAAATTTTATTACGCATATCCATGATTACTTGACGTGTAACGAGCTTGTATATACATAGAAACATTTACGCCCGAGTAAATGTTTTACCTACTCTTGCAAAATATAATAGTGTAATAATAGTGATAAGCTGAATACTTATAATTATTAATTTATGTCCCAAAGATATTATTGATAATATTTATTTACTTAAAAAACTTTATTGACCATACAAGAGGCCGATATAATGCTAATAACATCCTGTAAGTGTATTTTGTTTGGATATAAAAAGGAAAATGACAGATTCGATTTTGATAAAATTTAGATGGCACTATCTTGAGCCAATTAAACTGTCGAATAAATAAAGAATTTTTAAAATCGGGCAAAAATTAGCGGAAATATCAGTGAACATAAATAAAAAAAAAACCATACATCGCTGTCGAACATATAACCTCTTCCTTTTCGATTTTGAAGTTGGTTAAAGCATAAGCATAATACACATATAACTATTATCTTCATAAACGTTCCGAGAGAAAAGTACTAATTTATCTTTGAACGTAAAGATAAATTTGTGAGGATAAAGGAGAGGGAGTGATGAGATCCTCTGAAAGAGTCGGGGAGGTTATTCCACAGTAGTTTGACTTGAAAGGTAGAAGAGTCGGAGATAAAGCCTGAAAGTGGAGAAGATAATATTATTGGAGATGGTATTATTTCCAGAAATGTCTCGTTATTTATTTACTTTTTAGTTTTTGTGATGAATATCCCTGTCACCCCGTCCTGCCCTGCGATTCTGTAAAAATCCAGACCCGATTTCGAATTCACTCAAGTGTCCGAATTCACGACATTTAGTATAGAAATCCTACTGATTCCATTTTTTGTATAAAAATACTAAACAAAATTGATTGATTAAAAGTGTCTCAGATATTTTAATCTTATATCATTTCGAAACTCACTTCACCTATGCCACGAAACGTTATTACCAATTCAAGTTTGAGCGGATGCTGCTTTTTGAAGTGAATTCGGACACCCGAGTGGATTCGAATTCGGGTTTGAAGTTTTACAGAATCGCAGGGCTGGTCGCCGGACCGGTAGGTTTCTATCTGTCCACCTGCCCACCTACCCACAAAAACTCTTCTATGTATGAGACCCGGAAAACCGATAGCCATACTGTTTAATACTACTGATTTTCAAATAGCGGAAACGCCCATTAAAATTATGTTGAGTATAGTAAAGCGATATTACTGATACTTTTCGAAAGGACTTGCAACCATAAATTTTTTTTATAATAAAAGTCATTCAAACAATTTTTTTATTTCAGCTTCTTCAAAATAAAAACTCAATCAGATTTCAATTGCAATGTGTGGTTTTAAAGATAATGGTACCGACCAAATACTTGTTCAGGAGAAGTAGATTACCGATATACTATTGCCAAGGGTACGTGTACTATATGATGTTCAATTTTGTCCATAAAATTGAAATACACGAGATGTTCCTGCATTCTAATTTGGATATGCCTGCCGACTTCATTGTTGAATTCTACCATCCACCAACGTACGACAATTTGGCAAAAGAGATTTGGCATGAAGAAGTATTGGAATGAATTAAATAGAGCGAAACTTTACATTATCATTTTAAAATAAAATTTATTTTCAAAAGGATAAATAAAAATTTGAAAAAATTACTATGTTGACTTTATTGTTTTACCTGTATAATATAGTTATAGTCTGCTTTTATTTTGAAAAAGGAAAGATTTGTGTATGTGATTCACTATAATGTAATAATGGAGAAAGGGACAGATGATATACGTTAACAGTTTTTAGCGATATAGACTGTCAAGTATCAAAAATTAATTAATTAATCATGATCCCGTTTATACAATTAATTTTAGAGACAGTTTTAGATAAAGACCGTAAGGTCAGGAACCTGAAAGGCAGATTATCCATGACTTGTAAGATATTTTCAAAATCTTCTGGAATTATTTCGGTGTATGTTCATGCAGGTTATATAACACGGAATTATAGTCACCTAGTCACCAAGCACACACTTAACCCTACAAGGCTCAATTTTTTATGGTTGTGGAAAAAATATATATGATGTAATTAGTTATTAGTAGTTATGAAAAAATATATTAAAAAATAATAATCCAATAGTTTACCAGAAAATCATTTTTTTATTTCAGTTCCATATATGACTGAGCCTTAAATACTATTTGGTACTGAACTACAATAAACGTAATAATAAGGAAACAGTATCTTATATTAATTATCAAGAGCTTTATTTATTTTATAATTATTAACATAATAAAGATGTACAATACAAAGTCTGAAACAAAATGAAATAAGAAAATTATGTTTAAAAAAGCTACTTATGAAAGTTTCAGAAACAATTATTATCTTTATTCAGGCAAAGTTCTGCGTGACAATTCTCACAAGAAATGAAGTCTTCATTTGCAACCAGGCTATTTATATCTTTGTCTTTTTTCACCCCAGACCGGATAATGCTCAAACCCTTCACGACTGACGTCACGAGGAAGTAGGATTGCAGTATTGAGCTTCTTTCTTTTCTTCTCAATTTTTTCAGACGCAGAAGCCCAAACATGCATAAACTTTTGCCTACCTAAAATTTTAACTTCTTTTGTTTTAGTGGAACTCGCGTATTATTCTGTTCCCCAACTCTTTTGTACAATAACCAGCTATAGATCAAAGAAATATCAAGAAGATGATAAAATAGTCACAACCACAAAAAATATGGAACGGGTGTTTCAAAGTGTATAATTGGTGACTGTAAACTTGTGTCTCCAGTAAACGGAAAATGAGGTGAAAGAAATGTTGATTTTCTCCAAATGAATCTCCTTTTATTTTTTATGGCAACAGACGTAGAACCAAGGGTTTTAGATGATAATCCCCTAAGTGCCCGTGATTGTGTAATGGTACTTGTAATTGTCCCTGATGTGCTAGGCTGCAGGTCTGATATTTCAGGCCTTCACAACATGAACATCCTCGTTGGCAGGAGACAAAGATAGTCTTTGCGGCGGTAATGAAGTTTCCTTGTCGCTAAGTGATTTCGATATCAGCTTTTGGAATAACTGCAACTTGCAGCATCAGAAAATCCTCCTCATGTTCACTCCCAGAAGGGATATTCAAGAAATCTTCAATTTCTTCACTACACAATCCTCTTCGCGACATAAACTATAAAAGACAATAAAATAATAGTAATTATTTGGCGTAAGTACGAAATAGTAAAACGAGCACGAAAGCTCAACGTACCGTATGTGGCACATAGATAAAATTACGATTTCTAATACTATTACTACAGTAATATAAAAAAATTACTTACCTCTGCATAATATACACTCCCTTATTTCTCACTTAATTTTTTGGACTCAGAACTATGCGATTACTATTTTTTAGAAATTGGTGAAATCACGAGAGTGGTTAACGTAAAAATTATATATTAATAAAATTAATAACGTTAAATTTTTTGACAACTATCTAAACAGGAAGCAGTGGCAACATCTATGCACAATGCTTTGTATTATTTTGTTGCTAAATATCCAACGGTTGTCTTCGGATTGATAATAGATGTCGCTGCACGTTTTTCACAGCTGTAGGGACGATATAAATGGTTGTCCCACATGTGGTACTGGGGCCTTGTAGGGTTAAACCAGTATGTAATTTATGTTTATTACTTCTTTATTTCCTAAGTTGTGCAAGCAAAAAGAAGTGAAATCCTCCCAAAAATACCCTGTAAAAATTTTGCCAAATCTCGTTGCAGCTGCTTGTTTCCCTTTAAAAAGTAATGAAATCTATAAGCAAAGCAGGGCCAAGTCTAACACTCGTATCTATCTATAGTCGCGTAAAAGTAATTCCACGAGTAAGAGAATTACTGTTAATAGTAAGAATACTATTATTATTAGCCATTAACAGTTCTTATTTCATTCAAATTTTCGTCTATTGGGAAAAAATATTTGCTATAGTTTTAACATGTAGTTATTTCTCGCGACTGAAGACATAAATGTAAGGTTCTTTACTTTTTCGCTAATTGAGCAAAAAATCTCCTTAGATACTGCTAGCCTGAATATATTGTACTTTTGAATACCGAACATGGACTAATGTTCAAAGAACAAAAGTATTTTTTTAAGGTACTGCATTCTTAAGGTTCAAATAATTAGAGCAAACAATTTATTTGCCTTGTCATACCGCCCCCTAAATACAAGCGCTCTAGGTAGTTTCCCTAGTTTGCCTATATGGACGGGCCGACCGTACTAACAAGTCTGCCGTGCACGCAGACGCACATCTCCGGCATCTCAAAAAACATCGTTTTGAGTAATTCGACTTAGAAGTTTTTATAGGTTTCGATCTCTAACATTGATTTAGATAGAGATATTTTTATTTATTTCCATTTTTATATTTTATTCACGTTCTCTAAGAAAGGGAATAAAAATCATATATATTGTAAATATTTTAGCAGTTAGAGCAATTACGTTAATAAGGCATTACAACACTTTCATACAAAAGCTGTAACGCGCCCTGCTGCATCTTTACCTATTTGAAAAGAGTTATGCGTTACCCGATGTGTTAGTTGCATGAGAGTTTAGTTTTAATGTATAATTAATTATGAGAAGAAAAATAAACCAATTAATTTAGACTTATCTGCACAATGTGGTTTCATCGAATGAAGATTCGAAATATAAAAGAAAAAATATGTATTACATTTTTCTTTTCTATTTAAAATAAATAATACATATTTTTTTCATAGAAAACAAAAAATATGTATTATTTTTTTTTCTTTTCTATTTCTAATCTTTTAGATTCGTTTCTAATTCTGCCCTCTTGTTTTCTGTAGAAAACTAATTAGGCTTATTATTGATATTTTTTATTGACTTCTATTTCTTCAGTTACGTTTAATTTGTTATTTGATACATTTTCATTATTAATAATAGATACTATCGGATAGTGTCCTATTCAGAATTATATTATTTGATTGACTTGATGACATTTCTCTTTTTAGGTTTTCTTGGCTTATTTTTATGATTTTTATTTTCCTTTTTTTGCTTTTGACCGAGTGCTGACACTATGTCAAAGTTCAATGCTTAGGCAAAATGAATAAAAGACTGGCTAAGCTTGAGAACTTGATTTAAAAGAAAGGGTAACAAAAAAACTGTATCAAACAAAAAAGGAATATAAAAAAGTTCGTATGGTTATCTAAATAATTATATTAAAATAGTTAAATAGAACAATTACATACCCCCTTTCTTCGGGGTTGGTGAATAATTTAACTTTATCATATTTGATTTTCTTGAGTTCAAACTCGTGAGCATAACGGAAATAGGTACTAATAAATACATTTAAACACCTTTTCACAAAAAATTACTATTGATTGAAATTAACTATGTGTAATGTTTTTAACTCGACGAATTTTCACGAACTTACTTTCATAAAGAGCATATTGGATTACTCACAATTTCAAATTACGAAAAGTAAATAATAAAAATAAATGAAGTTATAGACCAAAGATAAAAAGTTTGCATGCGGAACCTAGAACAAAATAAACGGTTGTACAACACACCGTTACAACACAACTGGTTCTACATTTCTATTTGCTTTTGCTATGTAATGATGTTGAATTATCCAAATTGTCTCTTTTAGGCAAATTATTTAGAATTAAACGAGAAATAGATATAGATATAATACATTTGTTAGAAACCTAAACACCAATTATTGAAATATCTTTATGGTGAGTTGGTCGTTTAAAATTAAGATAACATTTAAGGCATGTCTTCTTCTTCTTTTATTGATGGCTTATCTGAGCATTTCGCATAATTCTGTAAATGTCAAGTTAATAAATAAATGAGCACATGTAAAATGAAAATGAAATGAATGGAAGATGATCTCTAAGCCATGTCTCTGATAATACAAAAAGAAAAGGATTATATTTGTTCACAAGAAAAATAAACTTGCTTTTTTTACTTATTGAGTTTTGACAATTCCATTGCCTAATATTAGCTTGATTATCCATTTTGTAAGCGTTCGATCACAGTTGAAATTAAAGAAACTGCGTTGGACAGTAAATGAAGGACTGAAGAAGAAATTGTGTTAAAATAAATAAGTAATAATATTAACAATTTAATTATACTCGTATCTCTGATGGATATCTGAGTCTTATTTTAATCCTGAAGTTTATTATTGAATACAGACCAATTTACAGTAATAGGGTTATCATAGCCTTGTGAGCTTCAATATCTCTTTTTTTTTTCAAGTGTTTATGTTTCTTTTTTATTAATATCAGAAGTAGATTATTTTTCCGGTGAAAAGTCAAAACATATGCAGTCATTATTTGAATCTGAAAATTGAATAAGATGACGTTTTATATTAAAGTGATCACATACTTGCAGGCGACTGCGTTTGAGTGTTAATGAACCATCGGTTTCCATTCCAAATTCATTAGAAACGTTAGCTAATAGTCCAAATGGGGGGCTCACCCGGTTTAAGTCGTTCGTTCATAAAATTTAATTAAAAACTTACCAATAAACTCCTATAATACACTACAATCTAATACTAAAGAAATATAACAATAATTAAGAAACAATATACAAATCTGTTCACTAAATTCTTTTCAAACTCGATAATCGTGCCGCCAAGTGCAAATGTATCTAACATATTAATATAATATATTTTACGGTAATTCATACTTTGAAAACAACTTTTAGAAGAGCTGCAATAAAAACTAAGAATAAAAACTGTTTACAGTTTTCTAATTACAGAATTTACTGTCAATTTAATTAATGTTAAATTTTACATTAATTTCGTGCTTAAATTTGGCTCCCGAGTCCTGACGTATTACCAGGAATCGTTGTCCTTAATCTCGAGCCATTTTCTAAGCACACGTTCTTTATAAAATAGAACAAGACCGGGGTAGTTAGTATTTTTATATAAAATATAAAAAGTGAAATCTAAATGTATGTGTAATATATACCGTATTTACGTCACCATAGTCTACGCTGGTTACTAGATTCAGTGATTTATAACTTTTACCTCGGTCAGTCATATAATTCAGCAACATTTAGAAACTGTGTTTACCAGTTCAAATTTCTGTCCGTAATGGCTGTCAGAAAAATGTCAATTGCTCCTAAAATATGTTTCATATTAACAATATAATTGTAAATACTTCTGTTGGTAACTATTGATAATCAATACCTCCACTACACAAAAACAAACCAGTGTCTTATGAAAACCTTAGGAAAATTATACTCGCACCTTACGCTCATTGAATACGAGACCATTTGAAGTTGCGGCGCAGATTCGATCGTGACAAACACATTTCGAAGCTCGTCAGAGCTTTTATAATAATTATATACTTCATTGCTTACGACACATGACAAGTAACAAATTGCACAGCATAAGAAACAATTAGTTAACTGAAATGTGTTTATGCAAAAGACAATAAGGTTGAAAATACCAATTTTATGTTTAAAAGGAAAAGACAATCGCCTCGCATTTGACAGATTCTTTGCATTATTTGTTAACAAACATAACGCTGTTTAATAACACCATACCACTGACTAACAGTCGTGATCTGAATAAAGAGAACGATGAACGTTCTCCACGTAATTATAATTGTGGAATTATGTAAGAACAATACCTACATTATTATTAAGATAATCAAACTTAACATTTAACTTTATATTCATTTAAATGTCGGTCCAGAAAATAATTATAATATTGCCATAAATACCCCGCATTTTTTTGTATCTTAAAGCGATAAAACAGAAAACAACTAATGAAATCTCAATTCGGGTTTCAGAAGTAACAGTTTATAAAGAAGATTTAGATATATTACGGTTTTATGTAAAAATATACTAATAGCTGTACAATACCGTGACGACTGGTTATTACACAGCGCTTTAATCGTATAATAATAAATCATAAAAAAATATTCTACGTCAACTTCTAGAAACTTAATTTAAAGTCGAACAGTTTAAATTATAACTAGAAAAACGTCACCAATCCAAACTTTTTTTTTAATAGTTAACCGCTTTTTTATTCTTAGCATTTTTTCAGTCACTAGTAAAAAATGCATGAGTATCATACGTGATTTGTCAACATGCCATGATGATTTTAATCTGAAGCCTGCTGATGGAGTGCTTAAGGAACACAGCTTTCCGTGGCTAGGATTCGTGCAGTACATACATGGTAAATACACAACCTATTCACTTCTTTTGCTCAAAAAGTCCGTCATTATAGCGTTCTAAAGCGAAGCGAAAAATTTTTATTTAGACAGATGTAAAATACTCTTATATAAGAATAATTTGAAAATGGAACTAAAAGATCTCAGCGATTTGACAGAAGACATGCATATTATGGCCATTAAATTCCTTTGAGTTACTTGGCTTAGTTATTGAGACCAATAGTAATTACTACTAGTAAAACCGATAGATGACGTTGTTCTGTGTTAGATCGCGCTTTCGTTTGTTTATTTAATTGTAATTTGTGGATCTCCATCGTGACACGGATCTTTTTAATACAAAACGTAGAGTGAAGACTTATTTAAATGTACACGTATGTCTAAGACCAGTTTTCCTAATAACTTGGAAAATATGATTTAGTTACAAACAAAGATTGTGGCTAAGAAAATTAATAGGCGCGAAATCTTAAAAAATAAATTACGGCTACGTAACAATTTCCCTCGCATGAAATTGATACATGGCCGGAATTTATTTTTCGCAATTGAAGTGTAAAGTAGAGTGTAATACATGGTGCCCTGCCCATTACAACTATAATTTACTACCTAGTAATAATGGATCATTTTAGCCTTATTACAAAACAATCTACAATCGTAGTACCTACTAATAACTGTAATAATCTAACAACTAAAGAACAAAATTCTGTATAAACATGTTTTTAAGATTGTTCTCAATCCGTTTATTTAATTAGAAGTATCATAAAAACGTTTTAAATATCTTTTAATTTATTTCGATAAATATATAGGTATATTTTTCAAATAATTAATTACAGTGACAACTGGACTGCCTCACCACAGCAAGGCTCCGAGAGTGGTCCTCATACATAAGCAATTCGCGCTCGGCACAGCAACTGACATGCTGCACTTGCCTAAAAATTACAAACTGTAATATATGCCATATATTTATATATTATACTAACTGTGCCCGGGACTTCGTCTACGTGGAAAGTAGGCTAAGTTACCCCTTATTACATAAGCTATCTGTCAGTGAAAGGCCCATCAAAATTTATGAATTCACAAAATGTTATTTTGTACATGTACCGTCTAAATATACACATTTAATTAGTGAAAATCGATTATTTTAATATGTTATATTAAAATGATCGAACAGACGCTCCAATTTTATTTATTTGTTTATAAAATAGATGTATATCAGCTTGCCGCCCGCGTGGAATTCGGTCGTTATCACTCTTCGTAACGTTATCCCTTATTTTAACCCCTTTGGGCATACTTTTCGTGATAAAAACTTACCGATTTCCTTTCCCAAGGTTTTCACATAAGAAATTTAGGTGCAAAAAGTAATAAACACATAAAGAGAAACAGAGTTACTTTTACATTTGTAATATGGAATAATGGATATAATTTTATTCCATAGCTCTAGTCAGTTAATACAAATATTACCAACATTATCATATTTATATAATGTTGGTAATATTTGAATGAATCGATAAGGAGAATGAGACATAACTCACAGCACGCAGGCCCAGTGCGAATTGGTGGGTATTAACGACTACAGATGCAGCCGGGACTAACGACTTAACGTGATGAGCTCTAGATAATAAAGTTTTGGTTGCCCATTCTAAGACCGGCCATTCCGATAGTTGCTTAAAAACATATCGTAGAACCATCTATTTGCAAAATTAATGAAATCGTGCCGTTGAAACTTCAATACGTCTTTTCCCAGAGGTCATGTAATATTTGGTGACTATGAACGCGAGGAAGAGGAATGCGGACTTACGAAACATCAAGTGAAGCTGGGTGTTAAGTGTCCGCGAGCTTACATCGAAATGCCCATAATCGATATAACACCACATCCAGAATTTTCCAGGTAATATTTTGTAAACTTTTAAGCAAGGAAGTCATCAATTTTTTTAAATCTTAAATTAATTTCTATATTTTTTTATATTTCCGAGAAAATCCTGTCTTATATGGAATATTAAGCAAAGCTCAGCGCATAGAGCAGCATTAACAACATATAAAAATATATATAATCTGTGGAACCGTAGAAATGTTGAAAAAATTCAGCAGCCCAATCTAGATGATGCTCTTGCCATTGAAGCTACCAGAGACAGCATAGGACTGACGAATTTTTTAAGCGTGGTTCAAGCAGAGAGCAAAATATTACTGGTGCTATTTGATTTTTTAAGCATTTTTTATATTTTTATTCAAAATTGATCAAATATAACATATTATAATACTTTTATTTTAATCTATTAAATAAACCTGTGTTTCCTATAGCCCATAACCATTTTCTATGTTGTGTTCAGATCCAAATTTTTTTATATTTTTTAAAAAAAGTCATAAGAATTAAATTATATCGAAAATCTTATTTGAAAACTATACAATTCCAATTATCATACTCTTATCAGAACATATTTTAGTGTTTTAAATTGCTGATTAAATGAAATGTAAAGATGAACGAAAAAAAACACTCTTTCCAGTCATAACTTCAAATAGGTAACATGATTATTTCACAACTGGTGAAGTTAGAATTAACTAACGCATAAGCAAATATTACTTTACCGTAAATGGTTTTTAAAATGTTGCATTATGGCAAAACTAATGTCGTTGTCTGTGTTGTCATACTTTATTCCCCTTAAAAAGTTAAAGCTTTGTCTTAATCATTATAACCAAAACCGGGTCGTCTGCCCTATTGCAGTACGCCTAAAATTCTCGCAAATTACACATTACTCACCGAATGATCAGCTGGTAGACTACAACAGGCGTGTGGTGAGACAACCCCAATGAATGTTTGCAACAGCTGCATAGAAATAATGATTTTTACGCTTAAGTGCTTAAGTAGGTATACATTCGAATCCATCTGAGACAATGGCTATCATAACAGGGATGAGTAAATCACCGAAAAATTTTAAACGCGAATTATTTCATGCGTAAAATTGAAACGTTACATGGCAACACCTTTGTAGACTTTCTATATAGTTGCCTCGACTATTATCTTAGTAATTTCTAATAATTAACTAAAAAGAATTCACCCAGGTTTTATCTCTATGTATAAGTATTATCACACATATCTGTAACAATACAAATCAGTGGCAGAGCTTTAGATTCATGATTAGGAGTTAGATAGGTATATTTTTTTTTTCAAAGCTTTTGATACATATATATAAAATAATGATGCATTAGAAATTATATGATTAACTACGATGGCGAATGAAAAAACGAATACAAGAATCGCTTTCGCTATATTTCACTTTACATTTATTAATAGGACTGATCGCACTTTATAATATAAAAAAATATTATAATGAAAAATTACAAAAAAATATCTTGTATCTTCGACGTGCTAAGTTAATATCCTATTTCTTAACTTTGCAGGTTCGGTGTAGGAAACAGTTTAGCATTGGTTAAGTTTATTCGACCCATGAAATCACGTAAGTTTAAATTTTTTTTTCACTGAGAGGATATTGTAGGTTTTTAGTAAAGAGCCTTTCTAGAGTCCGTTAGATCACAGAAGGGAGTCCCAGATATTTGATGCCCGCCAGGTGTCATAGCATTTCTCTACGTCTAAAAAGATCGAATCACACGAATGGAGGCGAATGAAATGAATTTTCTTTACACCTTGCAAATAAGTGACCGGTTACATCAAGATAGGGTAATAGATAGTAATCAATATAAAATATGAAACGTATATTTATCAGTCATTACTTGTGATAAATAATTTTCAATAATTAGGTTCAGATTATATAAATTTTCGCAAAATAAAATCACTATTCTTGAGCATATGACGTGAATTCAAACAAAAATCTAAAGCGTGTGACGTCATATCATGTGTCAATGTCATCATCGAAATTCGCGGTCTACGTCATTTAATACAAATGAATTTATATACCTGTTTAAAATTCATTTCCTCCACCTGCTTTGGCATCTGTGTTTGGCATGTTTGAAATTGTCCCTAAAAATTGTATTTCTGTTAATTAATTAATGATCAATATTATATGGTTCTTTTTTTAGAATATATGATACCTGTCTGTCTACCATCAATTCTAGAACGGATGAAGAAGAAAAGAAATAAAGTAGTCTATATGATTGATTACATTAGCAGTAAGTATCCAGTAGCAAAACGTCGTAACACATCTTAAACCTCGGATTTTCATTAATAGATTTTCGTGAAAGCTTTGATAAAATCTAAAATCAGTCATTTAGTTTTAGAAAAATAATGGTTATAACTATAATAATAATAAATAAAAATTGAATTTATTTTCCTCACAAATATTCCTCACAACTATTTCATATCCGTGGATTGTGGGTTATAAATGGATCCAAGTTTTTACTTTTAATATATTTTTTACTTTTAAGTGCATTTTTTACTTTTTTCTAACCTTCTTTACAATAATTTAAACCAAAATTAAAGAAATGTATATTTAAAAAGAGCATAGATATTAAATTATAAAAATCATCGTATTTTAATAGGTCTTCATCTAATTTGTAAAGATTTATTTAAACTAAATAACATTACATTATTAATTGTAGCTGTACCAAGAGATTTCGACACAGAAAAAATGGGGAAAAAGACCTTTAAACTATACACGCATAAGGACTGCAGAAAACATCGTATGAAATCGGTAAGATCAACTCACAGTAGCACCTAATTGTTGGAATGATTGAAGTAAATAAAGCCCATGGGTTGTGAAAATCTGAACCAACAAACGTGGAATAGCTATGGACTCAGTCAGACCTAAGAAATCCCAGGAATTATATCCATACTTAATATCATAAATGCGAAAGTAACTAAGTGTGTCTGTTACTTAATCACGCCTAAACCACTGAACCAATTTGCATGAAATTTGGTATGGAGATATTTTAATACCCAAGAACGGACATAGGCTACTTTTTACCGCGGGAAAATCACGCATTCCCACGTCATTTTCCCGCGGTAAAAAGTAGAAAATAATCTAAATATATATAACTCAAAGGTGACTGACTGACATAGTGATCTATCAACGCACAGCCCAAACCACTGGACGGATCGGGCTGAAATTTGGCATACAGGTAGATGTAATGACGTAGGCATTCGCCAAGAAAGGATTTTGATCAACTCTATCCCCAGGGGGATAAAATAGGGGATGAAATTTTGTATGAAACTTTGTCAATTTTAAACGGGTCGGGCTGAGATTTTGTATTAATAAGGCTACTATGACGTAGGCATTCTCTAAAAAAGGATTTTGATTGATTCCACCCCCAAGGGGATAAACTAGGGGATGAAAGTTTGTATGAAACTTTGTCAATTTTAAGGGCTGAGTCTTTGCATGCATAAAGCTACTATGACGTAAACATCCAGAAAGGATTTTGATAAATTCCACCCCTAAGGGCATAAGCTAAGAGGATAAGACTTTTTTTTTCAGGTATTTTACACGATATAATGAATAAATATTCTTAAGAAATGCTGCTCAAAATAACTTTACCACGCGGACGAGAGAGAGAGAGAGAGAGTGGTTAGCATGCTTGGTCTGCAATACAGTTGTTAAGCAAGTTTTGCAGTGGTCGGACATAGGATGGGTGACCAAGAATTTATTATCTCGAGATCCTCTGTGCTTCGGAAGGCACGTTAAGCCGTTGGTTCTGGCTGCAGCTGCATTCGTTAATAACCATCTAACAAAAATATGCTTGCATGGTGGGACATGGCCCATTCTCGTTATTCGATTCGATTCGAATCCATCCGTAGGGAAGGCCGGAGCCCCAGCAATGGCGACATTAATTGACTGGTGACGATGATGATGATGAATCAAACCCGAGACCACCGAAAGGTAATAGCTTGAAATCAGCGTTTATAAAAAAATATTAAATATCTATAAACTTTACACCTAGGTAAGGAACAAAGAGGAGATATTTAAAAAAAACATTAGTTCCCGAAATCAAATTAGATGTCGCTACGGTACTTTCTTGATTTCTCCATAACAACCTTCCCGATTTTCTTTCGTATATAAAAGGAAATTAATTTTCAAAACTCAATAAACAAATCATATTCTATTTGTAGTTTCTCGTATTTGTATTGATATCTAAGTTTCGAACTTTGCAAATTTCAGTTTTATTAATATGTTAGTTAAAAGGAATGGAAATGACTATCTTTGGTCCGTTTCCTGCAAACATCAACTTTTGTTAGAATCGCCATCTAGTGAGTTGCATTTTTGTGCTTTCTTTTTTTTTCTTAAAATACTTCCTCATTGTAGCTATACACAAAAATAAATTTATAGTCCCCGCTCATTTATGTCACGCTATATTATTTTTTAAAAAGGCTCATATCACCCCCCCCCCCTAAAATTAATTTATATTTTATATTAAGTGTTAACATGTGTGCGAAATTTCACCTCAATTGTAGTTCTGAAGATTTTTTAATTTTTTAGACGCCTTTTTCCGACGTCTATCTTTTCCTTCTGACATTGAAAACCGCCATTTGCTACAACGAGAAAGATAGCAGATCTGCAACAGTACACCGATACATAATACACTTTCTTTCTCGCTCTAGTAAAAGGCTATTCTGAACCACAAAAAGATAGGCGAAAGAAAAGCCGATAAAATGTCGCTAGATGTAGCTCAACCCGGTTAGTATAGGGTCTTAATTTAAAACGAAGTCTATAGTTAGTAGGTTTAAACCATTATCCGACCAAAATAAATCAACACATCTTAATTCGATGTTTTCTCATCTGTCGTTGTCAAATTATTTTAGCCGGCTAATAGTTAAGTTTAAACCGTGTCCACTAACCCTTAGCCCTTGTTTTATTATGATATAGTATTAGTTCCGTTTTTCCTTTTAATATTTGTAATACTACTGATAATAATTATAACTGTGGCCGATTGTCTTATTTTAAAATATATCGCAATGCGTTTAAAGGTCAAGCGATTATGATAGTGGTTTTTGGAATCATATAACTTTTTCAATCGCTTGAGGAACAAATAACGGTTTGAATGATCAAGAGACAATAAAAACATGGCATCTTAAACTTGCTTGCTTTAGATGATTCCAATTAACATTAAATTAGCGATATCATTCATTCATAATTCATCACATGTCAAATAGTTGTAGCGTGAAGTTCATGAATGTCATTCGAATATCAAACTAAAAAGGATCGCGATTGATTTTAAAGTTAGCCAATAGGGATGATGCCTGGTAAAAAAAAAAAAGTTTAGTTCGTCAGTCAGATAATAGAAAAATGTTAGATGCGTTTTTTTTTATTTCAATTTAACAAGAAGTAGCTTAGAAACAGTTATTAAAGTTGAAGAGTAGGGACTCACTGCGTCATAGTTTTGTATAAAATGTGACGTCATGTGACATTTCAACTCAATGTATCGCCGTAATTTAATCATTACACAAAAAATAAAAAATACGAAATAAAAATATTTTCAACAATTTACCTGACGGATAAACAAACAAAAATAGTGATCTATTTTCAGAGCTTAGTAGTGATCATCCTATAACGCCTCGGATCTGTTTTCAGAGATTAGGTAGTGAAGGTGTGACTCACGTGCTATGCAGCTCAGGTTGTGGCGTTAGACCTGGCTCGCCAATCATCAGTCACAGTGCTGATGGCACGTTTGAGGTGATAGGCTTGACTGCAGGTGGCGCTGCCTGCTCACGCCGCGCCATGCGTCGCAGACTAAACACTGAACCGCCACTTTATATAGATGTCTACCCTTACGCTACATGGATCATAAACGTTATCACTGCATTTATACTACCACGACCCTATTCTCATAATTTCAAATTAGTTGATGAAGCTGGACCAAGTAAGTTGACTACTTTGCTGAATCTAGTGTGTCGTATGTAAACCTGTCTTTGATACACTTAGTCGCGGTTGCACCATAATTGCAGTAAGGTTTAGGTTTATGTCAAATTTGATAATATCTGTCACGCTGACTTTAACATTGACTGTGGAATGCGTTGCACCATCCTTTTCCTTGGTATAGTACATCAATAACGTTAACCAGCGAAACTTTGGCGGTTGCAGTTTATTGTTAAAGTTATAAAGGCATCCAACCATTGCTAAATGATAACTCAACGCCACCCAACCATTACCAAATGATAATTCACAATTATTTGCTTAACCGATACTTAAACATGTTTGTTATTGTTAAAATGAATTGGTGCAACTAAACGTTATATAATTGGGTGTACGTCAGTTTACCACAATAGTCGAAATTCCGCAATTAACTCTCTTCTCTACCCTTAACGTATTAAGGTTTAAAATCAAGGGGCGGAAAACAATTCTGTATAACCTGACTTAAAGACTGTACCAAGTTACAATTCAATCGTTCCGGTAACCGTTCAAAAAAAACAAGATACCAAGATACAACAGACTGACGGACAAAACAAGGGCCATGCAAGTGAATTGATGATCATACACCGACTAATTATAAAAAGAGGATTAAAGTTAGTACTTAGTACCTCAAACAAATTGGTAATGACAGAAGATGAAATATCACATAGTCACGTATTGACTTATTTCGGTCGAAACATTATTTAAACCTGGTACTAAAGTTAATCCTCGTTTATAAAACGAATAAAGTTAATTATTTGTTTTTGAGAAAATCCATTAAAATAATGATTCTTTAATTCTATAGTAATGGAAATATATCTTCTCTATAAATATTTACAAATTCAAGAGACATCAATATTGAGAATAAAAAACAATACATTTTAAATTTTTCACTATTTCCTCTTTTAAATAGCCATGGCTGTAAACAGAGGCAATTATTTAAGGCAAAGAAAACTCCAGAGACAAGGGTGGAAAGCTCGCACCTATATGAGCGGCAATTACTGTTTTAAGCAAAATAAAGCCCAGAAAAAAACCGCGTTTTTCTACTCTGAACAGTTTGAAGTTAAAGCTGATCCACCCGCAAAACTTAATATTGCCATGATGGTAAGATCTAAGTTAATAAGTTCAAGGAAACGTTTCTAATTCACGATAAAAAAAAAATATTCTTGTTCACCACCAACTTTACATATTATATAAACACTAGTGTCTCTGAGCCAAGTTATGAAAAGGCATAAATTGTTATTATACAAAGAAAGCAACTCTTAACGTAGAATGTTTAAAATAGCACGGGCATATCTAGTACATCAGTTTTTGTATTCAAACACTGATGTACAAAAACTTAACCATCAAATAATACAAGGTAATGTCAGAAGTCATAATAATCGGCGAGTATCGAGTAGCTCGATGGCGTAGAGGATAAGCGCCGCGGCCCGCGATCGTAGTCGTTAAGCAACTTTCGCAAGGGTCGGTCACGGGATGGGTGATCAAAATATTATTATCTCGAGCTACTCCGTGCTTCGGAAGGCACGTTAAGCCGTTGGCCCCGTCTGCATTTGCAGTCGTTAATACCTTCCAATCCGCATTGGGCCAGCGTGGGGGGTCATGGCCCATCCTCCTTAACCATCCACAAGGAAGGCCTGAGCCCCTGCAGTGGGGACTTAAAAGGGCTGGCGATGGTGATGATGTATGAAAAGAGTAATGAAAGTGGATAAGGCAAAATATGTATCTAAGGACCGTATTTTTTGGCGTTCGACAGAGAGCTGCCTATCCCGCAAGGAATACGATGTGAAGATTATATATAGATTGGACTTTAGTACATCTAACAATTTTATTTCTTAATATTAACTACTTTCTAGGTTGAGTAGTTCGCATAATGGTTTAATAGCGCTTTTAATAAACAAGGTTTAGCGTCAGAATAAATTCACGCTAAAATTGTAATTTTTGTAATAGTCCAAATCCCTATTATACAGAGAATAAGCGAACCTACTACCTTCTGGGAGTAAATATTGCTCCCGTAGTACTAATAGCACTGTAGTTTATTAATAAGACTGTAATTCTTAATCGGATCAATGTAGAAATAATATTTTTTTGCATGTCTAATATTTATTTATAATTTTTTAGATATCGGCTGGAATAGAATGTACAATAACTTGTGCAAGACTGCAGATGCCGAATCGTTTATCTACACCAGTTATTCACGGCGTTGGAGGGTATAACATCACCATTGAATTCGACACGGAATGGTTTCCTTACTTGTTCGTTTTCGGTATAGGTCTCTCAGGAAAAAATACAACAGAAAGAGATTTCGCCAGGTGGATTGGCGAAAGGAAACCTGGTTTTTGGAAATAATATACTTACTAACAAATTTTGCGTTTTTATTAGTGTTGCCAGAGTCAAATGTCCTGCCGGGACCGACTTTGTCCCGTATATCAAATCGATTTCAGGTGTTAAAGTGGTGTGATAAACGAAGTAAATGTACTTCCAAGTTAATAAAAACCATATTAATTACCAACAAAATTATGTTAAAGCATAGGCGTTTCTCTGAAAAAATATATAAAAAGTAATTTGTTTTTTTATTAATCCTGGATAAAAATTGAAATTCTGTATCTTTTCAAAAGAATCCGGAAACATTAGTTTCTATGGTAATAAATAAAAGCTTTGTTACGTCAAATTTAAATAGTAAGAAATAATTCAAGACTCGGAGCATCGTAAGATCTCAAATGATTCGATTTGCAATCGTATCCTGCAATAAGAATTATTGTTTTCAAATAATTGTTTCATATACAATCTGTACTTCCTTCCATTATAACTACTAGCTTTCCGCCTGCGGCTTCGCCCGCGTGGTCCCTAGAGAACTGTTTATTTGGATATCGATTCATATCATGACACGGATATCATTACAATGACAAATTGAATAATAAACAATGGTTACTATGGCAACGTTTTAATTCCACATACTCCTCCCTTTATTTGCTATTTTTCGGGATAAAATATAGGTTATGTTCACCGCATATGATGTAGCTTCCAATAGGTGAATGAATTTTTAAAATCGGTCTCGTAGTTTCAGAGCCTATTCGATGCAAACAAACACACAATCAAATCTTTCTTCTTTATAATGTTATAGTATAGAAGACTGAGTGATTAGGTGTAATGTTAATAATAATGGTTATTCATTTACGGGTGTTCGTAATTTTAAGCCTATCAAATAATATATACGAGGGTCAAACTGAAAGTTCTTAGAAAATCAAAAACTGATTACATTAGCCAGTTATTAGTTTTATTATATCTTTTCAAAATATTGTCCATTCACGTCAATACACCGCTGCATGCGATGGAACCACTGGGAAAAGCACTTTGCCCACTCGTCCTTAGGGGTCTCTTCAATGGCATCGCGATACGCAGCCACCGCTTCTTCAGCATTCATAAACCGCTTTCCTTTAAGTTTTTCTTTAATTTTTGGAAATAAATAAAAATCACAAGGCGCGAGGTCGGGGCTATACGGCGGGTGACCCAGTAATTCAACGTTTGATGTCGCCAAATAGTCGATCGTTCGCTTGGCGGTGTGCGACGAGGCGTTGTCGTGGTGAAGGAGGATCCTACTGCGAGGTCGTTTCTCTCGAACTTTTTCCAAGACAAGTGGCAAACAATTGGTAGTGTACCATTCTGCAGAAACTGTTTTTTGATCCTCTAACACAATTGTTGCAAAATGACCTATCCTTCCAAAGAACGAGGCCACCATTTTTTTTTCCCGCACTTCGATCTCTCTTCACTTTAGTTGGCAACTCCTCGAAAGGAAACACCCACTGAGCAGATTGTCTTTTGGTTTTAGGATCATAACAGTAAATCCAGCTTTCGTCACCTGTTAGTATGTCGAACACAGCATTTGAGTCACCTCCGTTAAATCTTTCAATCATTTTACGACACCAATCCACACGATGGAGTTTTTGAGCCTCAGTCAAATTATGAGGTATCCACCGGGCGCAAAGCTTCCTGACCGCTAAATGTTCGTGGAGGATTTTGTGCACTTGACTCATACCGATGCCTAAGCTTGTCCGAATCTGTTGATAGGTCACTCTTTTGTCAGTCTCTATCATACGCCGCACAACACAGATGTTATCTTCAGTCGTCGCCGTAGAAGGCCGTCCCTCACGTAAATCATCAGTGAGATTAGTGCGACCACGTTTAAACTCATTAAACCAGTTGTAAACAGTCGCACGAGATGGGGCTTCATCGTGAAAGGCCAATCGTAGTCTATCATAACTTTCTTGTTGACTTAAATGACATCGAAAGTCATAAAAAATCATTGCACGAAAATTTTCTCGTGTTAAATTCATGATGACGTGACACAGACAATTTTCAATTTGCCGCCAAATCGTAAAACAAATGACAAATGAATGAAATATATACTCAGTAATATTGGCAAAGAGTTATATTTTCAAATTTTAGAATTATTTTTTTATTATATTGTTTATAAGTGGCCAGTTCTAAGAACTTTCAGTTTGACCCTCGTATTACACATTACATTAAATATTACATACATGTAAATTTTATAGCTATAGTAGAATTATATATATAATTTACGGTCTAGAGAATCTCTCAGAGAAATATTTAAAGAAATTAATATTTTGACTGTTGCCTCTAAATACATCTATGAAAATATTATGTACGCAAGAAAACATTACGATTCCTTCACAAAAAAAAAGAAGTGTTCATAATCCTAACACAAGAAATAAAAATAAACTTGCCGTTCCAAGTTTCAGACTTCAGAAAACCAGAGGATCATTTCTGGGTAAATGCATTGCTATGTTCAATAAAGTTCCTCAAAATGTAGTTGACCTACCCATAAATAAATTTTAAATTCATGTAAAGAACATACTTATGAGTAAAGGCTATTTATTATAAAGTTGATGATTATTTTAAGGATCGCAATGCATGGAATTAATAGCCTTCGCTTTGTTCTATAAAGACTAATTATATGTTCAACCTATGTCCTACACACTTTGAAAATTGTATTATTATTGTAATAATACATATTATTTAGGTAATGACATGATTTATGTAAATGTCATTACTTATTATAAAGAACTGGTAAGTTTCTTTCGCTTGTTCTTCTTGTCAGCTAAAAGACGTCCTGGGGCGCGACCGCCTAACTCATGGACGTAGCCGTAGTCGTAGCTATAACCTACGCTTTATCGATATTTCTTATGAATCTGTATATATTCTTTTGAACTTAATTTTTTTTTTGTATTTATATATTTTATCAAACATTTGGTTTGTTTTTCTTTTCGAAATGGCATTGTTTGTAATAATTCGACATTTTGTAAACTTTAATAATTCAGCAAACCAAAACAACTAAAAGCATTGATTAAATATGTAAATAATAAAAAGCAATTAATTTTAAAACAATATCAACTGATTCATGTGTAAAAGCTATAAAGCGTAGGTTATAGCTACGACTTCGGCTACGTCCATGTGTTAGGCGGTCGAGCCCTTGAACAAGTGGTAGGGGAAAAAAATATTTTTTGGACGATTCAAAAGTGCTTGTAATAGCCTACTTGAATAAAGATATTTTCATTTCATTTCATTAGAAGTTCAATAGAATACAACCGATTACAAACGGTAATAAAGGCTTTATTTGATTGATTTTTTAAATATTATAACAGCGTTTTGTTGTAAATCAATTGTTTTAAAATTCATATAAACTAAATAAATAAAAATTTAGGATTATCTAATTTAATTGAAAATATAATTAATATACGCTCTTAGTTTTAACTTATGCTGACTCGACAGATATTGTATCTTCATCGTTTAACCCTTGGTCACTACTTGGGGCACCTGGAAAACTCGATGGTGGAGATGGAGATGGACTTGGAGACTGTGGAAATAAGGGGTTGGAAGGAAATTGGGGAAATTGAGGAAAACTTGGCAGGGAACCTTGGGGGATTTGAGGGATTTGTGGGAATGTTGGAGAACCTTGAGGAATTTGAGGGAAATTTGGAAAATTACTAGGCGGTAAAGATTGGGGTGTAGAAGGCTGCGATGCTGGAGCCTCGGTGGCAGGTTGAGAATCTTGCTGTTGTTGTTGTTGGGGGTATTCAGCGGAATCTACTACGGCGGTATCCGCGTCACTTGCAGGATTTTCCGGAGCACTTGATACTGGTCCACTAGGCTGTCCACCTGGGTTTCCAGTTGGTACTCCGGCTGGAATTCCTGCTGGGTAACTTGGCAGACTCTCGATTGCTACTTCAGGAGCTAGTGGAGTCAGCGAAGGATAGAATACACTGCTCGCAGGGATATAAGACCCTCCCGCCACGGGGTAGTAAGTTTGCTGTACAGGTGCAAAACTGCTTAGATGCGGTACTCCGAATGCAAAATTGGGATGATAACCAACTGAATACGAAACCGGCAACTGTAAATAAAAAAAAACAGTTGCTAAGAAAAGTATTTTTATTATTTACTTTGATAGATAACTTATTCGAATTGAATATTAAGGAGGGATCTTACTAAGTCTAGCTTTTTTCCTAATGTTAACATAATATTAGGATTAAACATTGGAAAATAGGGATTTTATTTTCATTAATATCTAAAGAGTGAAGATTTTATTACTAACATTAACTTAACTTATCTCCACACAATTTGATCCGAATTAATATACAGTAATGAAGCCTGCATGGGTATAATAACTTTTAAAAAGGTTGAATATACCTACCGAATTGATGTATTGTGTAGTAGAGTATGCGACGGTCTTGGTCTGAGGCGGTAGGATAGTCCTTACCAGTTGCCTCGCTAGAAGACCACCTGGCCAGGCCACCGAGCCTCCATACGCGCACCCAGCCACACACAGCAACAACGCAACCACCTAACAGATTATATTAATTTAAATAAAGTTGCGGCAATTATAGCCCACGTTGTAATAACGCCCACCATTTAAAGAATGTACTAAAATTCTTCTATTCTTCACCAAACTTTACTCACACGTGCATAAGACGGGTTATCTATCATTGTTCATAGGGCAAGCAAATATTGCCCATGTTATAATAAGGCCCGTCATTGAAAAACGTGCTAAAATACTTCTATTCCTGTTCAAACTTTGCCCACACGTGCATAACACGGCGTATCTATCGTTGTTGGGGAGGCTATATTACAACGCTGGCCTTAATTACTGCAGGTATCTTAATGTTTATTTTGAGCAATTTTGCATCTACAATACTAAAGAGTTGATAAATTAATTTGACTCGGGCACCTTCAGACTTCTATGTAAAAATATTCCCAAACTGGGGGCCTTTTAAAAAATATCTAATTGATGTTGCTTATCTTTGAGAAAGTTTTTATTATAATTAAGGATTAAAATCTTAATTAACGACATGAATTACATGACTTGAACATATAGAAACTTTACAGACTAACTACATACTGAACTATTCTAATAAATAACATTTTGAGGTCTATTCTAAAAGTAGTTACAAAATAACAATGGAAATCAGCTTACTAAACACTGTTAAATTATTAATATGTTCATGTGTAATAATGAAATATAATTTAAAAAATAAACATTTACTTTTGTAAACTATAAAAACTTTTGAGATAAGTATTATTTATGATTCTTTTTAAGTTCGAAGTCGATTCAATGTTTTTTTTAGTTTTTATTTCATTATTTTTAATGGTATTGATATTTCTTAAAATAATAGGTAAAATTAAAGATATTAAATATCTATATACAAAGTGGATTTTTTAAGCATTTTTTCATTCATAGCGTTGTGAATGCAAGATTACATATAATAAGTAGAATAAATTTTCATCTATATCGAAAGTTTAAATATTTGTGAGAATATATCTATCGGCTGGTTTGGGTGAATTGCCTGAACATCAATGAAAATACTCTATGGTAAGGAAAAAGTAACAAATACTTGAAAAGTTCGTCAGTTCTTTTAGATCCTGGTTAGATCAGTCGCCCGGATTGCGAAAGGTCATGGTTATAAGTCCCAACAAATATATCAGAATGCCAGGTACTAAGTGGATTTTTAAAAAAAAATTCAGTATTGCATTGTGAAGAAATTGGTTCCCCTTCTACTTGTGAAAATAAATACATTTCAAATGTAATAAAGTATTAGTTACTTGGATATGGTTGAATATTAAGTATAACCGTAGCATTTACTTCTTAAAATAAATATATAGATATTGATATGTTTCTAGACACAACTTAATTATAAAACTATGTTCAATATCTATTTATATTTCAAAAAATCGATGAAAGGTAAAATATTCCTGTTTTAGCACACTATCGTATCATTTAAACATTAAAAACAAGTTTAGTCACTATAGGTATTATGCATATTTTCACTGTATTTCACATAAAAACACACCACCCACTGACTGATGATACAAGTCGAAGACAAGATTTCTTTTAAATTAAAAAGTCTTCTCGAAACTTGCTCTACCACGAAAAGCAAATGTAAACTTAATTATTAAAAGCGTATTTAAATTTGAAGGTTCTGTACCTTCATCTCAGACTCAGGATCTAGATCGATATAATACACGCAGTTATAATGCGACGTCTCTTATATATCAAGCGCCACTCCGCCCACAAACAATGAAAGAAAAGAACTGGATATGTTTTTAAGTAATAACGTACAACTTATGTGCTGCTATCTATACTAATAATATTATAAATATTAAATAATAATAATAAATTTTTATTTCGGACACCCAATATCTATATTATGATGTGCCATTTAAAGATTTGATTGTTTGTTTGTTTGCATTGAATAGCCTCCAAATGGCTGCACAGTGTCAATAATTTTGTCATCTGCGGGAGACTACATAAAACGCGTGCGACATAGGTTATTATTCAAATAGACGAAGACTGTTGATGAAGCTTGGATCAGTGGCTTAACGTGTCTTCTTAAACACGTAGGAGCTCGAGATAATTCATTTTTGGTCAACCATCCTATGACTGGCTATTCTGAAAGTTCCTTTACTTCCACGTCGTAGATTAAAAAAGCTAACCACTTAAAATATTCTTAATGAAGAATGATAAAATATCCACTCTGTCCCTGGCACACTGAGATGGGATTTTGACGACCTCACCCCATCCCGTCTCTGAGTGCCAGGGGCAAAGTGGATTTTTTAAGTAATTTTCATTAAGAATATTTTATGTAGCTAACCATTTACTAACATATTATAGTTATGTGGAAACCAACTCTATTTACTTATTTTTTATACATTTTTATTATATAAATACTCACCTTATATTATTAATCCATATTTTCCATAGACTGCTAGATGATGTGATGAATTAAGTTCATATTTAGACATTATACATGAAAGTAGAAAACTATGTAACAAGAACTCTATATACATATATATTTAAATTTATGCAATTGTTGTGAGGTTCCATCGATGTAATATCATTCGGAAATGTCACAATACATTTTAATTACGTTAATAAAACAAGTGAAATTTTCAGCAATGTTAGTAAGAAAATAAATATAACGTATCCAGTAAATTTATATATCTTGGGCGTATCTGTATGAAGGTGAATCTATGTAGATCAACCTTCTATTTTATAATTGTTTTTATGGATATTCTTTCACTGCTAATTGTTTTAAATTTATATTACAATCAATCCTCCTTATATTTTTATGACATATATACGTGTTTCAGAGTTGATCCGCAAAGAGATATAAAGAAATATTATCTATCCTCTCGTAACTCGCAACTGTAAGTACTTAAATAATGAACATCAATTAAATATTAAACAACATCATATAAATTGCAATTTCCAAAGATGCGTAGTCGGAACCCTCATATAATATAGGTTATAATAATAACTTTTTATAGTCATATAAACTGCATGCAACTAGGCAATGTGAAGTCTTTGATCTCTGTATTACTAGGTATTACGAATTATTTAAAACAACAAAGGTACCATTACACCCGGGCATATACAGAAAAGTCCATTTTCTCCATTGACCCGCCCGGGTATCGAACCCGGGAATTGAGATATGTTGACGACCTTGAGACCGGCGTGCAAACCACTCGGCTACTTAGGTGCCAAATAAAAGGTATAAAATAATATATCACAATTATATTATTAAACAGTTTAATAACAATAATCTATTATTCTATACAAAACAAAAACATATTTCAAAACAATACGACAGTGATACGTTTCCATGAGGTAAAGTTTTAGTCTCCCTAATGTAATCTACCTTTCCTAGGTAGAAAATTTAGTACCTAATTATAAAAAATCCAAATAAGCTTACTGGCACAGTTTAAAAACCGCGTTTAGCTGATAACAAGAACGGGCGTAATAAATATGTCAAATTGGGAAAACACTTCTGATCTGATGAATGATCATCAAAATAAATTCTCTCTTGTACCTCCTACGGGAATGTAATTCGCGTACAATATGCATCGAGAGTAAAGACGTGTTCGCTTGATTTCATACATTTTTAATCACAAAAAAAACAAATTCAGTTATAAAAAAATTGTGAACAAAAGATTATATCAAAAACTATTTTTTATATATCGTACTTTATATGTAGTTAAGATGAAATATACTAGTTGTAAAATCGATCTTTGCGATTTTTTTCTATCGAGCCAATTATTGAAATTTTCGTTTTTGTTTTAGCAAAAAATCAATCATAAGTTTTATTTTCATAAAATGTTTTTTTATTTAGTAATTTCATACAACCTCGCCTTAAACTTTACATTATCGACACAAGACTTGAACTATTCCTTACTTCTCTCTTGCTGCTCTTTGCTCCCCTCGTCCACCAACGTTGTTCTGATTCTGGCTTTAAAGAGCTCCACAACTGGCCTAGGAACACTCTTATGCCAAGGAGAAGTGCCTCCGTAAGTGTCTTCAGCCCAAAGATTTCTGAACATCTGCACGAATACTCGAATAATTTTCAACATAGGCATTTTCGAGGCCTCCTCATATTTACCTGTGGAATGCACATTGATATTTAAACAATAATTAAAGAGATTTTTTTTTAACATTTACTTCATAGTTTTCACTACGCCACGCTTATTCACTGATAAGTGCCGCGGCCCACGATCTTTCTTATTAAGCAATTTTCGCAAGGGTCGATCACGAGATGGGTGACTAAAAAATTATTATCACGAGCTACTCCGTGCTTCGGACGGCACGTTACGCTGTTGGTCCCGGCTGCATTTGCAGTCGTTAATCCATAAAGATGGCCTGAGCTCCTGCAGTGGACGTAAAAGGGTTGATGGTTATTATTAGTTCATTATTATTTCTAGCTCCTGCCACTCATATATTATAATCCTAATCGTTTCCTATTCTATTACATTAGTAAAAAAATAATATTTACATAGTAGATTTGTAAATAATAGCAAGAAATAACAATAAGTTATGTAGACACCAAATATAATTGTGATGTTACATGTTACTCATAGAAAATTCTTCTTTACTAGGAAACTCTTCACTAGGAAATACCATTTTAGGAATACTAATCGGGTAAAAAGTATATACTTACCACCAGTTTCTTGCCTTTTCACACGTATCGTTTTTGGGACCATTGATTTGTTTTCATATGTAGAAGAATTCTTTATCTCTTCAAGTGCCGCTTTCTATAAATAAAATATATATTTTTTGAGCTTTCTTATTTAAAGCAAATTTCTATTTCAATTTATAATAAAAAGAGATTAGATCATCGCACAGCAGGCTTGTTCAATTTTCAAACTGTTCATGCTCTACATAAATTAAATAGATAAATAAATGTATTACATCCTATTAATATTATAAAGGCGAAAGTTTGTAAGTATGGATGTATGGATGTTTGTTACTCTTTCACGAAAAAACTACTGGACGGATTTGGATAAAACTTTACAGCAATATAGGTTATACATCAGAATAACACATAGGGTACTTTTTACTGGGAAAACTTCTCACTCCCACGGGATACCGACTTCCACGCGGACGAAGTCGCGGGCGTCCACTAGTAATAAATAAATAGATGGCGCTATACCATTATAAATCGCGGTATGATCTCATTTCTATACGTTTATATATACAATTATGGTGCATAAATATATTCATGATTTCTTTTTTTCTTTGTACCGTAAGGCTAAATCTCATTCTTTCAATTACTTTCGTTCTAGACAACGGTTGTTCACTAACTTTATATAATAGATTATACATTTTATTGACACAACAAGCTAATTGAGAGTGCTTATAATCATAACATTGGACAACACAATATACACGACACGTTAATCTCTTTAATTCACTCACAGTCAATTTTATATGAATGATTTTAAATTAGGTGCCTTCTTAAAACAATGTTGAAAAGACTGCCACACGCAATACATTCGGGTAGTTAAGTCTACCGTATAACATCACTATTATCATCATTTTATAATCATCATTTATTTTCTTACCATTACTCCCAGTTCCAGTTCAATATTTATATTTTACTAGATGGCGTTATTCGTATTTACATCGCGATATGGGCATTCTATTACAGAATCTGTGAGTAACCTTATCACTAACTCACACAGATCATAACGTAAGTATTATTTTAATTACATTCGATAAACAAATAAAAATCTCTTTATAAGAGTCATAAAAATATTTTAATTAATAGATAGATGGATTGGATATAGACTTTAAACTAGCTTTTTGAATTACTATGTCATCACCAGTGGTCGGAATTAGGTAGAGTTATTCATGTTCTTACACTGATTTCATACAGCGAAAGAATAAAGTGGATATGCCTCAAATCCCGAAATTAATTTTAAAGAGCAGAAAAAATCCCGTTGCCAAACTTATGTCCAAAGTTGCAAAATACCAATACGCGCGATGTTGCCACGAAGGTCCACATTAATATCAACATTTCGATGCAAGTACATAAATAACTCTACCTAATTCCGACCTCTGGTCATCACCAGTCTATTAATGTCCCACTGTTGCAGCTCAGGTCTTCCCTACGGTTGGATTGGAATAGAATCGAATGGGCCATTACTCAACACGCGGACCCAGTGCGTATTGGTGGGTATTGGCGACTGCATGTTCAGCCGAGATCAACGGCTTAAAGTGCCTTCCGAAGCACGGAGGAGTTCAGTATAATAAAGTTTTGGTCACCCATTCCATGACCGACCATTGCGAAAGTTGCTTGACAACCGTATCGCAAACCGAGCGCACTAGCCACTGCAACATTGAGCTCTCGTCACCATGTATATTAACGAAAACCGCATTGAAATTTCGTGTCATAGTATATACAATGGAAAGCTACTTTATTTTATACTATACTAGCTGACCCGGTGAACTTCGTATCACTTACGTTTTAATAAAAACCATATATAATATTGAAAAATAATTTCGTAAACTGACCACTACACGACCATAAATATTGATCGTCAACTGAATGTTTGACAGCTAAGCACAGTTTGTATGGGAAAATCAAATTGTAGTTTTTTAGTATTATACTTGCAATTTTGTTATATTTTCTCATCGTTTAAACCTTCCCAGGACTTCCACGAATATTTCAAGACTAAAATTTGTCAAA